TATGCTAAGTTCAAAGATTGAGCCATGTACATAGTCAAGGAAACGCAAATGGTACATTAAAACAGAGGTTATTCTTAACTTTAACCTCTACCAACTATAGTGCTAATGTCCTTCGATTAGATCTAAAATTTCAGCACATTCGCAAAAGATTCAACTAAAAGCGTATCAAAATGAGTACATGATCAGTTGCGCTCATGGTTATGTGAAGGCTCGGCAGCTTGCCAAGAGGGAAGAGGCGGAGAATTTTGATACAATTCGGCGAGTACAGGGCATGTTCAAGCTTGCAAAGTGAGTGGCATCGTCATTCCATGGTTGCTTACTGCATTCTGGTTCAGTTTGACACGTCGTTGTAAAAATGTTGCACCCGAGATTGTCGTAGATGAGCTGGAACTAGAAGACTCTAACGATGTGTCTTCTGAATCTGAGGAAGAGCACGAAATTGCAGACGTGCCGGAGGAGCAAATGCCCGGGCCTTCTTCACGCCCTGGTGCGTTACGCATTAACTTTCAGGAAAGGAGTCGAGGACTTTTCAACATAACATTTAACTCCTCTCAAATTTGTGGGTGACTAGCATATTTTAGATGCAGTACGACAAAGATCGGAATCAACATCAGACGCTGAGCAATCGCCGAGGAAACGTTCCAAAACGAGCAGCCTCAGGAAGGAATCAGATGAAAAGAAGAGCAAAGCACTAGTGCAAAAATCCGAAAGGGAGCCACAGATTGTCACATACAGCTCCGACTCCGATGAGATTGAACTTTAACTTGTTTTATTAGTTATGTGTTTGTATATATTGTATATGTGCTAATTTCTGTTATTAGCTATGTGTTTGTATATATTGTATATGTGCTAATTTGTGTTATTAGTTATGTGTTTGTATATATTGTATTGTATGTGCTAATTTGTGTTATTAGTTATGTGTTTGTATATACTGTATATGCATAAACCTAAATACCTTTCAGGCGTTGACATGCTTTATGAGGGCCCTTCTCATCCTTCTGACATTCCCCTATTTTCCTAGACATTCTAAAAAAATTTCAAAAGTTTTCCAGAACGACTGATGGTCCCCGATCATTCAAAATCTGCAAGCTACTATTTCTCAAACCTTAGATACACCAACTAAGGCGATAGCATCTCTTAGACCCTTTTGCCTTCTTGCCTTATCTTCCCAACACTTACCTATTTCTCTAGACTTTTGTATTACCTTACAGTTTTTTGAACATTCGGAACATACCAGTTTTGAACATTATTCAAAAGCCTTAACTATTTCAATTAAGGCCCTAGCATGTCCTAATCTCTTTTGCATTGTTCTTCCCGACATTCCCCAATTTTTCCCGATTTAAAAAAAATTTTTTTGAAATTTTGGTCCGTCACTTACATAATAATAAGTGATTTTTTCACTCCCAATGTATTCGCGTTAACCAGCGAAAATTCACCATTATAGGCTGTGCAATATACAGGGTGTCCCAAAAGTAAGTACACACTTTTCAATCGCCAATATCTCTCTTCCCAATGGGTCTTTTTTTGTGAGTCAAGCACCATTCTGTAGAAGAGGCTTCAACTTAGATTCAAAGTATCGAGAGAATTATCGCTCTTCATTATGTACTGTAGGAATACGGTGAGAACTTTCAGCATGTGGAACCATTATGAAATATGCCATCTGACAAAATATTTTTCAAAATATCTAAAAAATCGTGTACTAGGGTTTTCGCGCACGCTGATTCCACTACACAATTTTTTACAAGCGTTTTCAATTTTTGAAGGTGTAATCACATTTCTGACAGATACCAGGTATTCGGTCATCGCGGTTTACATGGGATAACTTTGGAAAGAAGCATCAGAGTAAAGTGAAAATTTCATATTCGAAACTAGCGGCTTCCATTACCATAGTATAAGAGTTTTTGGCTTGTTTGGTTTTGTTCCTAGGCAGAATATGGCTTTCAATGGCCTAAAATCCTTGTCGAAGTTCCCACAGTAATCCTACAGTAATAAAGAGCAATCCGTGATTTGCTCGATACTCCAAATCTAAGCTGGAGCCTCCTCCTTAGAAAAGTACTTAATTGGCGGAAAAAGATACAATGGGAAGAGAAATATTAACGATTGAAAAGTGTGTACTTACTTTTGGGACACCCTGTATTGCACGATGATACAATATATTGCAAAATCTCTTATTTATTGGATGAGACCCATTGGAAAATTGAATAGCTCAACCAGGAATCTTTACCTCGCCGTACCGGGCCCCGCATCAATCCCTTCCCCTCAGGCCAAGCTCCCCCCGGACCAGTTTGACATGGAAAATTTTTTGGTCATAGCCCCGCCCCCCTAGCTCCGCCCATTCTCGAGTTATGGCGTGTTTTTGAACCGGGTTTTTTAGAACTCGCTCCAGAGTGATCCTAAAATTCTGAAAAAATAATATCATAGTTAGGCATAGACTAGATGTATGCATGCAAAATTGCAGACCTCCAGCTTTACCGTAAACCGTTATCTGAAAAACCAAGTTTTTGCCAATTTCTGAAAATTCTATTTTTTTGAAAATCACCTACAATTCACCAAAACTTCGCATCAAATAGAAAGTTTAAGAAGGCAACCCATAATATTTTTAAATTTCATCATACATACTGCGTCTGAACACATTTTTTCTGAATTTTTATATCAAGCTCCATTCTTTTTCAAAAACTATTAGATTGGTTCACACCTATACGATTGAGTCCAAAATTGGGGTAAAGATTACGATTACGAGCTAGCATGCATATAGAAAGTTTTGACTTTTTATCTGCATTCAGTGCAAAGATCGAAGGTGCGTCCTATTGCACTCAAAGCGTGCAATGGCCCGCAGTGCGTGCAATGGCACGCACGGCTTACCCGACTCGTGCAAATGCACGCTCGCGCGTGCAATGGCACGCATGGCGGGCTATGGAACGCAGGAACATACCTAGACGAAAAGGACAAAAGGACTACTTCAAGGAGGGAGATCTCGATTCTATAGGCATAATTGCCAAACTGGGTAAACACCAAACGTGTATAAATTTATATTGTGATGAAGATAGATTAGCTTGACTGGAAGTTAGAATTTCTTGGCAGACTTAGCTTATGGTTAGCTTAGGCGCAATCAAACGACAATAGGAGCGCAATGAAACAGATCTCAAGAGCCCGGATGGATGCGATGAAGGAGCACAAACCGGATCGAAACATTGGAAGCAACCGCCGCCGTGTAATAGAAGAGGTCATACGATAGTAGGAGCTTTTTGAAATTTTTGAAAAACACTAGAACGGCAAACCAAACTAGCAGGCGCTTTCTGCAGATCGAGTGCAAGAACAGTTCTTCTCGCAAACGTCAGGGACTCTTCCTAATATAGTCAGGTGCTTTTAGAAGATGTCGTATATAGTTGCTGTCAACTAGTTCTGTTATGTACCTCTCACAGGGTGATCATTGTTGTTTGAAAAAAAAAACGCTGAAACTTAAAAATATCCTTTTCCGAAAACTTGCTTGCACATCCTTTGAATATATACAACAAATGTTGGTACAAATGATTTCAAATAATGTTAGGCTTAGCATTGTGCCCAAAACAATTTACGTACTCGATAAAAGAAAAGTGACCCTAGCCGGTATACTATACCAGCGCAATGAACCTCGTGGGAAAACATGCTTGCCACCATCTGTTCAAACAAAGAGGTTAACAATAATAGCGCGGTTAATTCGCTGATGGTCCCAGCCTGAATCAGGCTACAAATGGAGGTGCATGAGATACACTTTAGTGTATTGTATGCTATAATGTGCTGAGTAAAAAGGGCAAATGCAAAAGGAATTGCTAGGTTCAGATTTGTTAGTGCGCACGGGGTTTCGTAGAATGTCTTGCTCTGCGATCTCCTACTTAAAGGCTGTGTCTCACCAAAACTTAGTTGCCGAGTTTTTTGCATTTTGCAAGCCTGTCGGACCCTGTCTAGCACTGTATGGGCCTAAAATCGCACGAAGTTCCCAAAAACCCCGTTTTCTGGGGGCCCCGCGGAAGCAACGTGGACGAGTTGTACCTTCCAACTTCAGCCTCAGCCACAGTGGCAGCAACAGAGGGGAGGTGGATGCCGGTGGAGGGACATGTTCAAACGCGTAAGGGGGGAGACCGAAGGAGTCGTCCACGCGTACCAAATCGCTCTCCGCGTACCACTTCAAGCGAATTTTTCTCAGCGTGGAGGAGGTCAAATTGAGTGGGACTTGTTGCAATGGCCTATTTAGAGGTCCCTGTAATAGAATATGTGAAGATCCGCGCGACCTCAACTTTGGTGAGACACTGCCTTTAATGCGTACATATATTGTGCCGGGGAAAATCTGCTGAACATTGCTCCCTAGTGAAAGGCATAGCCGACAATCATTAATTTTAACACGATCTACAGTTTCGCCCGTTCCCTCATAAAACCCTAAATATGCACACAAGTATGCAACTCTCAAATTGCACGGAGCACGGAGAGTCGTTTTCGAAGACCTTTCTTTGTCAACCTGAATATTCAAACATCTCTGCACTAGATGCCCATTGTCATGAAAAGCAAGGGATTTTTATGCCATGGAGCTTTATTCAGAAAGACTGTCTGCTTCGAATCCACCACGTGGATAAACTCTACTGATTCTCAAGCTTTTTCACCACTTTTCGTCTTTATAGCTGTAGAGGAGTGCTCTCATAGAAGGAATTATTCGGTTACGCTCATTTTTGAGAAGCGAAAGGAAGGAAAACCAAAAAAAACGAGAAACAAAAGTAAAAATGAAATTTTGATGGGAAGAGTGTGGTAAGGTTCGATTGCAAGAATTTAAAGCCTTATGGGAAAAGAGAATCACATTGGCTTGATGGAGCATGGTACATATGAGCAAATTATTCTCTGAAATAAGCTTTCAGCAAGAACTAGAAAACACAACACATCAAATGACTTTTCGCGGAATTCTGTAATTCTACTTGGTTTAGCCTTTGATAATTTTAGAGAATAACAATAAGTATTTTAAACAAAGGACATACTTGCCTACATAGATGCTCGCAGTTGATAAAGCTTGCATGCGCTTCCAATTTCATTTGGTAAATGCCCGCTGAGTTTGGCTGTCCCATGATTTCTGTTCACCAAAAGCTTATCAATGCACACTAAACAGAACAATCTTTTCTACCTTACACAAAACCATGGTATTCATAATCTTGGACTAAGACAAAGGCTACATATCTGAAATAAGAACAACGCAGTGAATGACGGAGAATAAAGTGTTTATTTCCACGCGAAATGATACAGGAAAATCGAGAAAAATCACAATATTTGCCACGATATTGAGCAAAAATTTTGTTCATATACTAGTGCCTAAACGTAAGTAACTAGTTAAGTAACTGCCTGATAAAGTGAAGTTTTGCTGAGCAATACGGTTAAAAAACTAATTTTTCTTGTAATTGTTATTTTCAGGGAAAAATTTTGTTGAAACAAATGCAGCATGAATCAACAAGTATACTATAAATCAGACTAATAAAAGTTTCGACGAAAGTTTGATATACAATATGTCCTGATAAAAATCGCTGTTCTATACATCGAGATGTTTTAGAGGGTAGCAGAGTGATCCACCACCATCTCGAAGAACTCAATAACCGGCAGGGTCCTGCGGAGTTTCCCGTCTGAAGTCACCGCAAGCACCTACTCCACCGCCATAGAGGGCAACCGTATGGGTTACTCCTTTAAAACCAGTATTGCCGGTGAAGTTCTGATCATGCCTGTTTTCAAGAATTCGTCGCAACTTCTACAAACAGGTACGTCTCTCATGTTTTTAGCGGGATGACTCATTTTACCGTTGGGAAATATTGGTCAATCATACTGGTGATTGGCACGAACTGATTGTGGAGCATTGGAGCGTCAATAGCTTCTTTTAGAGTTTCACCGAAGAACAAATGTCGAATGATGGTCTGGACAACTTAGGCGTTTCTCAAAATTATCTGCAACGCATTCAACTTACTTTTGCTGTTGCGGATATAATCTTTGATCCACCTGAAGCTCCTACCACCATTCTGGGCTAAACAATAGTTGCTGAAACTCCAGAACAAGTAGAAGTGTTTCAAGTACCTGCTTTGTTTTACGGTCGAAGATTACGGTAGGAGTCATGCTGCTCATAGGCCGTTTGCCCGGTTTGATAAAGTTGCTCTCAGATGGAGGAAAGCCGTATCTGCAAAGCTCTTTTTCCTTTGTATAAGAAACTCGCGAAGAAATAGCACTACGTAATCTAAATTTTTTAAAATATATATCTATTTCTGTAGAAATACTATTGGACCCATATATGAAAATTTGGTCAAACCAAACAAGAATTTGCATATACAGGGTGTCCCATCCCAAAAAAACGTGCCTACTGTTTGGTTATTGATAGCTCTCTTATAATGAAGTCTTTCAAGAAGCTTTGCGTGCCGTTGTAGAGCTGGATTCAACTTAGATTTACAGTATAGAGCGAATTACGTACACCGTTTGGTCTTCATTACTGTATGATTACGGTAAAAACTTCAAGTTTAAAGTGTCACTGTGGAAAAAACAGTCTTTTTAGAAAATTTTAGAAAAATGAGACAACTTGTGTAATAGGGTTTTTGTGAACGCTGAGTTAGCTCAACTATTAGGTTGGTAAGAAAATTCTCGGACATTCTTGTGCTAAAATTGCTATATCTCTGGTTGTAATGCATCTACGAAGGCAAAAATTTGCAGTTGTACTCTCACTTGACGTGGCTTGTAACAGTGCAGATGGGAAGTGCTTATGATCAAAAGGGGCGAACTTTGCCACTTTTCGATTACCTCATTTTTTGCGTTCATTAACCTCAAATTCCATACGAAATATGCATATATGTATGAGAGTTCATGTCTACTATATACTGGAGTACTAATGAGCGTCATAAAATTTAAGCAAGGTGGAGGTCTGATCTGCTAAAATCCTATGCCTTCAAATTTTCGCCACTATTCTCACAGTATTCATTGGTTATGCTCTTGATTAGTATGGTATTATAGTGTTTGCTTTCCTCTATCCAATGATATACGTATGCGCTATTTGGTACTCTCATCGAAGCATAATCTTTGTCTAAATGTAATGTCCGAGAACTTTCTTGCCAGCCTAATATGTACAAGATTGCGAAGCTTTCTAAATGGTTAACTGCACTTTTTGGGAACATTGAAGAAACGGCAGCTACTGCTTACTTCCCATACATTTTAATGAAGCATCATGAAAAATTGTGAACTTCACTTGCAGAAACAGCAACTCTAATTAGCCCAGTGCGAAAGCTTTCAAGCTGTTTTGTTCCTTTCTGAGGCAAAACATGGCCTTTCATGACTGAATACCGTCTTTGAGTTTCTACCGTAATCCTACGTAATGAAGAGAAATGGGATTTGTTGTATACTGTAAACTTAAGATGAAGCCAGCTCTACAAAACGGTACTTGAGGCTTCTTGAAAGAATTCATTACAAGGCAGTTATTAAGAGCCAAACAGTAGGCAGATTTTTCGGGACACTCTGTGTGTCAAGATTTACGCATTGGGAACTCCAGGAATTGAGAAATCGTCCATTTCATCGTTCCAAATGATACCATACTTTTCAGACTCGACCACTGCACCAAACCTGCAAAATATGATTATATAAAAGGTAAACTGTTGTCGCTTGAATAAGATTGTCATACCAAAGGTTGATAGTTGTGGTTACACCCACAGCATTGCCAAACTCATCGATAACGGATACGTGAGCTGTTCCGTGGTCTTCCACCTTCAATAAGTCTGTTTACTTCTACTAGTGTGTGTTAGAGGCGAGAGTCTTACGCCATAGGGACACTTATTAGCGCATTTTCAGTGTTTGGTTCTAAAAGCCTTTCAAATTTCTGAGAATATATGCAAAACCCTTACAAACTGCTCAAACATATATTTAGAAAGTAGCGTAATCAGAATTTAGGCCTGGAGGGGGCGACAAAAAATTTTCTGATGAAGGTGCGTGGCGTCAGCCACACGAAAATTTTTTTTTGGTGTGCTTCCCGAAAATTTTACTGGCTCATAACCCCGAAATTGAAACAAGGGGGTGTGGCGGCAGCCAGTTCCATCCCCTAAGATTTTTTATAAGACTAAATCGAATTTTTAAAAATTTTCAGAAATTGCATCAATTATACAAGTATAAGCAGGTCGCTTGCACATTTTTATAACTCATATAAGTAACATTTGAAAATTTCGAAACCTAATCTCGGGAGGGGGCCCTTCGGTACGCCAATGCTAGAATTAGATTCAGAACATAAATGTTGAAGGCTAAAAATGAAATTGCAACTGACATCCATTCAGTCATCCAATCAAGTTTCCAATTTTTTTTGAGGGTAAATAAAAGTTGTAGAAGGCGGTTTGGAGCTTATCCGAAGAACTTTCTCGTTAGAAATTATCGGAATTACCATGCTTTTTTGATTGTAGTCATCTAACGACTATATACATTTGAACTTCTAAACGTTCTTGCAACGCTGTTGCTGTTCCACTTTATCCAAGAAAATGTGATATCGTGGAGCCGCACTTACTTGACTTTCGTTGAAACCTCCATAATACGAAAGAGGTTGTGCCTTGTCTTTGATCCGTTCTACTACCCACTTGGTATACTCTGGAGTAGTTAAGTTTTCTGCTATTTGCATTGCTTTTGGTACGAATTTGGCATCACCCAGATATGTTCTGAAATCATGAGTACTCCTTTGCTTGATCTATTAGAGTGTTACATAAGTCTTGTTAAACTTAACTTCTAACGGCGATAAGTCATACACCTCATAGTCTTTGCAGGGCTCCAAGGTACCTTTCGATAGAGCAAAGCAAGCTCTACAAGAGGGTGTGCAAAAGTTTGCACCAGCTCCGATCCACTGTAAGTTTGCATCCAAAATCTGAGTAGTACTGAAGACTCAAAAACCGCAAAAAATTCATATTTTTGTTCAGAAAAGTCCTACAAATCTCCAACTTGCTCACAAAAATTGCCCACTATATCAAACACTCATGTGTACCATTGCTGTATTTTTTCCTTATCTAGAAATCGAGAAAAGGAAAATTTTTTATTTTTTACAAAAACAAAGCTATGCTGTTTCTATTCATGTAGCTGTAAACTACAAGTCCTTAGAAGTATAACTGCAAATTTTCAGATCTCCAGAAGCCCTAGTTTTTGAAAAATACCAAATTTAGCACTGAGCACCCGAGCGGGAGAAGCTAAATTTGGTATTTTTCAAAAACTAGGGCTTCTGGAGATCTGAAAATTTACGGTTATACTTCTAAGGACTTGTAATTTACAGCTACATGAATAGAAACAGCATAGCTTTGTTTTTGTAAAAAATAAAAAATTTTCTCGATTTCTAGATAAGGAAAAAATACAGCAATGGTACACATGAGTGTTTGATATAGTGGGCAATTTTTGTGAGCAAGTTGGAGATTTGTGGGACTTTTCTGAACAAAAATATAGATTTTTTGCAGTTTTTGAGTCTTCAGTACTACTCAGATTTTGGATGCAAACTTACAGTGGATCGGAGCTGGTGCAAACTTTTGCACACCCTCTTGTAGAGCTTGCTTTGCTCTATCGAAAGGTACCTTGGAGCCCTGCAAAGACTATGAGGTGTATGACTTATCGCCGTTAGAAGTTAAGTGTAACAAGACTTATGTAACAACCTAATAACATGTTTTGGACAGTACCTCTGAGCATATGCAAATTTCATCGTTTCAATGAGATCATGGTAGAACCTGGAGTTGCTGCGTATGTCAACATTGTGACCCTCCGGATATAAGGCTAAACTGCTTTCATTAGCTTCAGTTTTTCACAAAACATGATTGTTTACCGCTCATCACGGAAACGATAAGCTGTGTGATCGAGAAAGAAGAGGGAGGTGGAGCACCGCACATCACAAGGTCACCGCGGAAGTGATCATTCGTCATCTGTTCATATAGGGTAGGTTCGTACGAAGAAAGGTCCGCTTTTGTGATTATGCCACCTAAACAACTTTCTACAGCGAGTTCAGGCATTTCTGCTCAGGAAATTGTAGTGCATTATTTTGTAGAAAGTTTTTAATTCTAGCTCATTTTTGTAAAATTCTGGTTCAATTACGGCGAAAAGTTATTCATATAACTGCGGCATGAGGAGGCAATTATTAGGTTGGAAACTAAGTTTTTCAACTGGTCTCATAACTTCCCTCTCACTCAACATGGTGCACTCAAATTTTGCCACTGTGTTGGTTATTACGTAAACTACAAGCGCAGCTGTTGTCCTATCAAATTCTGACGTCGCAGTAAGGGTTACGGTAGGTGCATGGTATAAAGGGAAAAAATTCAGAGTTTGACAGATTCTGCTGAAACTTGGCATAGGGGTGTTATCCGACATGCTGATCACGAAAACGATAGTGAAATTGTCTGATAAGGACTTTTTTATAGCATTACTGTAGGCGTACGATATGAGGTCTCACCCTAAACAAGGAAAAAGGCGTTGATTCAACGAATGAATATGATATTCGCGCTCGGCAGGTCAAATAACCTTACTGTGTAAAGTCTCGGCGGAATTTAGGCTTCGGACTCTTTAGTCATTGACGGTCGTTCAAGCAGCTTTTGCGTACAACGACTCGTTCGACTTTGTGAGGACGCCAAATCTCGACATACTCTAAATTCTGTTTCTTTCTTACTAGGCCAAAGGAGTCAACCTCCAGCAATAATATAGACGAATCCGGATTACTGCGCATGGTCTAGGCTGCTAAAGGCTTCATTGTAGCTTGGAACCCCAAAAATTCTCAAATTTCACTAGTTTTCGAAAAATGCCCAAAACTTTTCAATTTCGTTTTCAAAATTCAAACGGTTTGTGCGCACTCGTAGCACACATTACTCTCTACATAATGCCAAAATTTGAGTGCGCCATGTTGAGTGAGAGGAAAGTTATGAGGCCAGTTGCAAAACTTAGTTTCCAGCCTAATATTTAACGTTTTTATCTAGCCCTGTTTCGCTCATTGACATCAAGCAAAGATTATTCGTGAGAGACGCCTCTGATAATTCTTATGTGCTAAACCAATACGCCCCAGAAAACGCATAGTCACAAATTTCGCAAAAATGAATAATCAAATGATTAGCTTTGATAAAATGAAACAGATAACAGCTCGCTGAGATTCTAGATCCTAGAGATACAGCCGTTACTAAGTGACTGCAAAAATAATCGCCACTACATATCAAGATCGCTACCGACTCAATATGCCAAAACATCTTACACGGAGCCATCACTGATGGACTACATTGAAAACTCATTTTACTTCTGGTAGTTGCCACATCTCTCATTAACCCCCCCCCCCAAAAAAAAACCAAATCTCCAGTCCCGATGGAAGAAGCAAAGCTGTGTTCTACCACATTTTTAGTACTTAAATAATCTATTTGAATGCATCGCTTTGTGATTCTGTGCTTACCAATGGTCAAGAAATTCTCTATGTCTCCGAGGCGGGTGTAGTAAGCTACTTTTCGTTATCGATCGATCCCCCAATTTTATAAATTTCAAAAAACTTGAAGGTACGGGACTGCAATTTGGCACAGTTGTAAGTGAGCATGCTCATTATGAATACAATACAGAGGTGCGATAGGTGGAGCCGGGCCCCCCAAAAGTGAAGGTGGTTCCAGCTACCAATGGCCAGCCAAAAGTGAAGGTGGTAGTGCCGAACACTCACCTCCCAAAAACGTCGACCGGGGGGGGGGCGTTAACGTCGACTGAGCCTATCCTTCTAGGTCGTTGCCGCCGGTGCGCGGAAAATAAGCAAAAAAAGATTATTGAAAGCATATATTTATGTATACGGCGGCATATATGTATATTTAAAATAAACGTGTTTGGTAAATGGTGTGTTTTGAAATGAAAGTCAGCGAGACTTCACAGATTTTATCAATCAAGTTTTGTTGTAACGTACTGCGAAGGAAGTAGGTCGATCCAGGCAGTAACCGCCGAAAACCAGATTTTCGAATGATAAAATAATGAAAAATTGTGAAATGTGTTCCACTGTTACAAATCTGCTGGCTGAAGACCTCCGCAGTTGCGACTTCATAGCTTTTGAAGGATAAGTATTGTTCTACCAGACAGTGAAAAAATCAGTTTAATTTGAGGAGTGGCCGCCGAGAACGAGAATTTTGAAAAACCTTAAAAATCTTCTCAGTTTTAGGTTGCTTAATGACAACTGACATTTAAACTCTTATAAATCCGGACTGGAGGTGTGTGATGTTGCGACTTCATAGGTTTTGTAGGGTGGGGTTTGCCCTATCAGAATATGTCTTAGCTGTACCGATCCATTGAAACATCGCCGAGATGCAGGCTCTTAAAAAAGCAGGTAAAAAACCGTTTTTCAGCCCATAACTTCTTCAGAACTGCATGAATCATGTTGCGACTTCACAGATTAGGTTCTCCTCTTCAAGAGCTTTCAGATGATATATAATATGTAGGGGATTCACGCCTCCCACGTCATATGCCCGGGGGTGGAGTACCTCTCTTCACTAATTCTCCACTGGCGGCCTCCCGCCAGTACATTGAAATGGGCGGGGTGGAGAATTAGTGAAGAGGAGTACTCCACCCCGGGTTAGAGCCGCAAGAAACATTGAATCCTCCACATATTATATATCATCCGAAAGCTCTTGAAGAAGAGAATCCAATCTATGAAGTCGCAACATGATTCATGCAGTTCTGAAGAAGTTATGGGCTGAAAAACGGTTTTTTATCTGCTTTTTTAAGAGCGTGTATCTCGGCGATGTTTCAATGGATCGGTACAGCTAAGACATATTCTGATAGGGCAAACCCCACCCTACAAAACCTATGAAGTCGCTACATCACACACCTTCAAAGTCCGGATTTATAAGAGTTTAAATGTCAGTTATCATTAAGCAACCTAAAATTGAGAAGATTTTTAAGGTTTTTCAAAATTCTCGTTCTCGGCGGCCACTCCTCAAATCAAACTGATTCTTTCACTGTCTGGTAGAACAACACTTACCCTTCAAAATCTACGAAGTCGCAACTGCGGAGGACTTCAGCCAGCGGATTTGTAACAGTGGAATGATTTTTCACGATTTTTCATTATTTTATCATTCGAAATTCTGGTTCTCGGCGGTTGCTGCCTGGAACGACCTACTACATAGATATATGCTCTCAATACTTTCTTTTACATTCTTTTTGCTTATTTTCCTTCTTTTGAGCTTTAGCAAAAAAAATTGTAGACCCAAAAGTGAAGGTGGTCACCCTGTACCAGCTCAAAAGTGAAGGTAAGCGGAGAATCGGCTCCGACTATCGCACCTCTGATACAATATTAGTCTCAGAAATTATCGATTACCTTAATCGAATTTATTTTTTGTAAAGTAACTGCGGGATGGAAGTGACGCAGGAATGGGCGCGGGATGGGGCTGGGGCGGGTAAGTTAGTAAGCCGATCACGAAAGCATAGGGGGGACAGGTTACTGACCTATAGAGATGGGACCGGGATGATTGGGTAATGGAAGTTGGGCATGAAACATTTATCATTTTGTTTGCCGGGACCGGGTGGAGCCAGGTACATGCTACAGTTCCCAGAATTTTCTGTTAACAAAGATACGGACTATCAATGATGCTCCTAACCGTTCAAAAGTCTATTATTGAAAAGTTACGATGCGCACGCTTTTCCGACTCTTGTGGTTGCTCACGTAGTTCCAAAAAATCTCTACCGTTTTTGTCGAATAAGGATTCATTTACACATGTTTATCATTTATGCTAATGCCATGCCGGTTGTTCAAACATGCAAAACTTCAAACACACTTGTCTTTTTACTTTTACAAATATTCGAGTAAAGTGAAAGGCAATTCATCGGAAATAATCACAACAGTACTGACCAACAAGCGTTATGAAAAAGCTGCTCACCATGCTCCCTGATTTCCTTAACGATGTCGTCAGCCATGACTCCATGATAGAAAAGTTTGACAGGATCGACTGAGTTCGCAATCAGTTCCAGTGTCTCTGCTAGATTTTCCCTAACTACGACGTCACCCTCTCTCCACACATCGTTTGTAGCAGGGTTGATCCACCTCCTTGAAAAATCTATACATTTTGTAAGCATTTTTCTCCTTTATTTTTACTTCATTGTAGGGGATCGCAATATGTTGTCTTTCTTATCATATAAAGCAGTTTCCATGTATTTCGTAACAGTAGTTCCTTCTCGACATAACTTTGCAGACGGTAGAACGAGATCCTTCCAAGCAACAGATCCTGCATATCAATGTGGCATTCTTCGCCTTCGACAAAGTATATTTTGCGTATACCTGACCCGTAATTTTTATATGCGTACCAGGACCCAGCTAATTCTGATGGTACGGCGATAGACCGATATCCTGTAAACACGGTGTGAGTGAATGTTACCTTTGCATTCGGTATGTTACCAAATTGGGCAGCTTCGGTGTCGTTTACAAACATATTTTCATCGGCTGCTGCTGGTGCCGTTTCCCTCGAGTTAATAATGTAGCACTTTCCTTCGGTCCAACATAGTGCAGTTTGTACTCAAGTCAAGTGCAGCTTTACAGTTTTGTCATACTGAGTAATATAGGAACTGCATAAATACAGTCTCTGCTTAGGTTAATGATGCGACCAAGTTTGTGGTTCCAAACTTTGCAATACCGTTACAACCCGAAGGCGGCGTTGCAATGCACTAAAGCATGCTCACGCACATAATCGGCTTTCATTTCGGCTTTGTAAAACGAACATTTCAAGAAGGCTAAATATTATATGGTCGTCTTTGCTCTGGTATAGAGTATTGATCGGTTGCGGTAGAACACAAATCTAGTCGCCCTAGTGGTTGAAATGACCTACTGAACCGGACTACTCCAATTTCAATTTAAAATTGTCTGTCAGGGGCAGTCTGTGTCAACCGCCCGTTCGGGTAATTGTTCTCGTGCAGATTGTAGTCCAGTCAGACGCGGGCGCCTAGGTCAGCAATGCGCCAACTTGGGAGCTTGATTGTGCAAGAGCCCTGACAGCAGGATCGATTAAATCTGATAAGGCTGACCTACCCGGTCTCGCTTGACTACAAATTATGTGAAAGAACGCGTATTTCCGGGAAGTGCTCGAAATTATTAGTCAATCAAGCAATTGATTCACTGGTGAATGAGCACGACTTGACTATTACTTTGCTGCAAGAGATTTTCTTGGTTTTGATTTTATTTAAATTTGGTATTGCAAGAGATTTGGAGTCCGAAGTGGAGAGATCGGGCTCTAGTCTCTTGTAAAAATCAAATCATTCTATAATAAAGAATGGCAAGGGTTTGCACTTACATGTTGACAAGTTGCGGAATGAGGCGAGTGATTGCCGAGGGTGCGGAGGGTACAAATTTGTCAACAAGGCTAGCGTGTTTTCGGGATAAGCATCGTCTCTCCTCGAGGAGATGTTTTCGAAAGGGGTGCGGTTACTAAGTGCAAAAAGGCTATAGTTGGGAAGGTGCCGACACTCTCGCAGGGTTGCTAACTCCCCCCCCCCCCCCCTCCTTCTTTCACAAGTCTGTACTTCTGGGGTATGACTGAATTCGATTGTTGTTTTGAGTTTTTGGTATTGGCGCCTCATGCCAGTTTGGCTTCAACGTGCTATAGTAGCCTTAAACGTTCATGTGCATGCTGCAGAATCTGTTCTCATTCTCATTTTCCCGTTGAAGCATCCATGGCATTGAACAAAGGTGGGTGTTGCGTTTTTTCGGAATATCTTTGTAAGTGTGCTATAGGTCGAGTCTATCTTTGCTTTCTTCTCGAAGAGGGTGTATTGGCTTTCTCTGGAGCAGGTGTTCTTGTAAGCGGCTCGTATCACAGTATAATTTGTAGGTGTGGCAGTTCTTCCTCATAGCTATGGATCATGGGGGGGGGGGGGAGGGGGAGGGGAGTAGGACAATTCTTTTTCAGACTATGGTTTGCAAGCGGTCTATAGGGTATCTGCTTTTTATAATTAACGGTTCTTCCTCAAATTTTGGTTTGAAGGGGGGGGGGCTTGTAGGGCAGCGCTTTCCGAAAACATCCTGTAGGCTTTTCGTAGGGCAATTGGCATTGGTCTCTGGCCGGGTTCGTAAAATGATTATTTTTCGATCCGGTCTATAGGCGGTCGATAGGGCCTTTTCTTCTTAATGTCGGTCTATAGAGGCGCGTAGGGCAATTTCCCTCCCCCTAACATTCCCCGCCCCCCTCCGTTCTCCAAACTATTGGTTCGCAGAGGCGCAAATTATGGTTCTTTCAGTAGCTCATAGCTTTTTTTCTCATAATATCGGTGGTGTATGGGCTGTAGAGGCTTATTCTATTCTTTAGAGTATTAGTCTCTGTAAGCGGTGTTTAGAGCATTTTTAAATACGAGTTTGAGGGTTTTGTAGGGCGTTGCTTCTTGAAATATCGGTCTATGCGCAGTTTAGGGCACTCCCTTCTCGAAGGACGTTCCGTAAGCGGCCCCTAGGACAACTTTTTCTACAATATTGGTTTGTAGAGAGCTCACAAGGCAGTTTTTGAAAAATATTGTTTCAAACAATGTCGATCTGCAAGCATGAGGAGGTTCTTCCGCAGTATAATGTATGTAGGCTGCCAATAGGGTAGTCTTTTGATAATTGATTATAAGTCTGCAGGCGGCCCATAGGGTAGTTCCTCTTCCTGAAATAGGCCCTACCGTCTATAAGCAGCTCATAAGTTTTTTTTTGGTTTATAGGGTCCTATGTGGCAGTTTTATCCCGAATTATTGTTTGTAGGGACTCGAAAAGCGCTTTTTCAAAGTACTGTAGGCGCACCTAGTGGTTTTTCTTCGATGTTGGTTTGTAGGAGACATGTAGGGAAGTCATTCGAATATCGGCTGGTAAGCGGTCCGCGCTGTTCTTTCTCATTAATTTTTTTAAATATCGGTCTGCGATGGCTTTAGGGCAATTTTTCTCTTGAGGGAGCCCCCGAAGCACTAAAATGGGTTGAAAGGGGGGCTCCGGAGCACGAGTGGCAGACCCCCGCTGGGTAGAGCCCGCGACCCTCCCACTTTCGCTTCGGAGGTATCACTTCAATTGTCTGAGTGTAGGGCAGTTTCTATGTATATCGCTCTGTTGGCGCTTCGTGGAACGTTCTTTCAAAGATCTATAGGCGTGAGATAAACGAGAAAACATCGTTTTTTGGAAAAATTTTCTGAGAACTAAGGAATGTTTTGAGTAACTGAGCCTTTTGTGCGATATATTTTTGTTTTGAGTATCGATTGCTTTCGAGGTGACTTTAAATGAAAATTGTGAGAAAATTTGGTCTAAAAAAGGTTCATAGGAGTGATCGATTTATCATTTTGATTTTGACCAGAATTCGCGAGATATTGTGATAAGATAGCGCGAACGTGTTTAATCATGATGTGATTTTCATCATAACTTCGCAAAATCTTAGCTTTAGTGTTCTTTGAAAAAGTCACCTTGTAAAAGGCACGGCGAGGGAAAACTTTATTTTATGGACGGTTTTTTCGAAGATGGGATTTTGATGAGAGGACGTAATTCGGTTACCTTTTTTTTTTCCAAAATCTCGTATGGTTGTGATAGGACTTTCAAGAAAGTTTAATATCTATAATTTTTCGTTTTTGCGAGACTCCTCAAAGTGAGCTCTTACCTCCCAGAAAAGGTATATGTGGAGATATTTGTTGTCACAGCCAGACAGCTAACAGTGTGTTTGCCTTTACCAACTTGTCAGCGGCCCTTAGGGTCGCTAGTCATAAAAGTTATCAAACCTTAATCGCTGATTAATTGATGGATTTTGATTTACTAACATTTTCGAGCAACACTAATCAAAAATTCCTATTTCATGTAATTTGATAGTTAACAGATCGGGTAGGTTAGCAGGTGTTGCTAACCTAGCCAATTTCGACTAACAAGGGAAGTACTTTTAATGGCCGTGACCTTTTGATATAAGATGCATATCATCTGAAGCAGCTTCGAACGCTGATTCTGAATCTGCTTTCCTTTTCTGCGGAGCGCTCTTCTGAAAAGAGTTATGGAAGCCTGAATATCCTGCTTTGGGGCGCCCTTGAGTTTGAGGACGCTGCTACGTTGGTGATGCAGTGGCGTAATGGTTAGTTGCTGGCATTAAAGGCGAAGGGTCGATGGTTCAAATCCGGAGTGATTGATTTATTTGAAAGATTTTGACTTCATTTGAAACGCCACTCTAATATTAATTCCCTAGTAACTCAATGGGTGCTTGGAGCATGAGAATTGCGCGGAGGTTTTCTTCTACACAGTTCCCGTTGTGAGAAATGTCTGTGTTTTGCTTACTTTGTAATTTAGCTTCACCTCTGTACATTATTTTTTTGTGGAGAAAACCAAATCTTAACTAGCAAGCCTCTGTCAGAAAATTTTTCTCTCAAGTCACATTTGCCAATGGCATTAGAGTAAGTGTCTGCAGACGAAATAGAGTGGTTTTTAAACTCACATTCGTAGTGCAAAATGTTTGCTCTGCACTGGATTTAAACCATCGGCCTTTCGCATTCAATGCCAACAACTAACCATTACACCACTGCACCAGCAACACAAACAGCAGCGCTGTCTAACTTAAGGTTCGCCCCCAAAATAGGATATTCAGGCCTCCATAACTCTTTTCAGAAGAGCGCTCCGCAGAAAAGGAAAGCAGATTTAGAATCAGCGTTCGAAGCTGCTTCAGATGATATGCATCTCATATCAAAAGGCCACGGCCGTTGAAAGTACTTTTCTCGTAAGTGGGCTTCTGCACAGTCAGTTGCCCACAATGAAGCACCGCAGGAGTGAAGCGCCCTCGTCTAATCAGGTCTACAACTTAATACATACCGCCCCAGGTGTCCATATAGATAAGGAGGACTGTATCCAACTCTTTACTAACCTGTTGTATAAGGTCATGATGAACCCACCACCGAGTCCACTAGACTCGGGATTAGTAACTCCCAAGCAAAACATAATTGCAACAGCAGCATCGACAGCGTTTCCACCTTTTTTCAGAATATCTCTGAAAAGAAATTAGAAATTGCATTGCTGTACTTGGCATTCCAAACTGCAGTGACAACAAAAACCAGGGAGTTGACCATAGGACACAAATAATAACTGTAAATTTGTGATGTAAAATAAGTTGAGTATTCGATAGTATACAGAGCTGAACTGCTCATGGCTTTGTCATATCGTAAAGTTCGTATCGGCTGAGGACCTTGCTCTAGTAAGATGCCAGAAGGCCACGAACCAGTCGCACAATTCCCATCCCCCTTATTTTAAAAATCGCCGCAAAACAAAAGCTAGTTGATGATAGCAGAAAGGCGTTCGCTAGGAGAAAGAAAGTGAAAGCTTAAGCGTGAGCAATGACCGCAAATTCCCCGGTCTTCACGATCAGGCGCAGCCTTATATGAGTAGGGGACGATCTTATTTAAGAAACGTACACTGCTATTTCTGAGCATAACAGATGATCGGTGCTTACGCCTGCCTTGTCGTATCTACCTTCAGCGACGTTGGACGGGTGAGGCCAATCAAAGTTGTCGTCGTTATTCCTCGCCTAGACACAAAATCAGTAATGTTATATTATTTGTAATTTCACTCGCATAATATCTTGAAGTCACACAAATTGAGAATAATGAGATTTTGATGCTGTATAATAACGGGGCTCTAACTCATTGCACACTCGCGGAAAAAGATGGATTTCGAAGAGGAGAATTACTACAGGAGCTGAGCGGCAATGGTCACAGTCCTTGCAACTATGTGTTCCGATGATATGATTTCGAAGGCGAGGTACAGGTAGACAGAAAACGTTGAAAGAGCGACAATCATTCTGGAGAACAGATTTATGACAGTTCCAGGCACATTTTAATTCAGGACTTGCCGACTTCAAACCAACCACGGTAAGGAGATGGAGGCCACCATTACCGCTTCTCTCTTTCGGAGCAATTTTTTGCTCCGGTTTTCTGTTGCAGCAGGGCTTAAGCGATTATTGGTTAAGGCCCTGCCAATACATATAAGCGCAAAAATTTCATCATCTCCAGCTTGGATGGACGTTCCATCAATGAGTCACGCAGAGATGCGAAAAATTGAACGGTCAGCGGAAGGTTCAGAAATTCAAAAATTCACCAACCCTTGCCAAATTCTCGATCAAACAACACAAAATCATTAGCAAAAGCGTTTTTGTCCGCGTAACATAGAAAATAGTGATTGTGCCAAGATAGTCGTCATTTTAACGAAGTTTAACCTTGACACACCATGTGTGTCAAACGGTCCCACGTGGTAGTCACTGCTTGACACACATGGTGTGTCAAGCGGTCGTCAATGTGTTAAATTACAGATTGGAAAATATTCATTTTTACGCTATGATTAACTTTCTTGATTTGCCAATTTATCCATAAATACTTGAATAATCGCCCTAGATAAACTGGTAGAACGATCAATTATTCAGCTTCCAAGAAAAATGAGATACGACCAAAGCTTCGAAAGTAGATTGTTCAACGCTCAATTCATCGGGGAGATCGAATTTTTGAAAGTTTTTGTTCACTAAACCTTTGAATTTTTGCTCATCAGTCATTCAATTTCTGGAGTAATTTCAAACATTCAAGTGTATAATCAATAGATGAGCGTTGATACTGATAGAAAATGTTCACGCAAAGAGATGGGGCCTTAGAACCCAGATTAATTCCTCCTCGAACTTGCAACGCACCTTAGTGAGGTTTGTAGATATATGACAGAGCAGTCAGTAACAAAAGGTGAGTAAGTCAGAAGAGGAACCAAAAATTTTCAAACAGCGAAAGGAAAAAAATGGCGGTTTCTCTTTACCCAGGCGATGAAGATGAGGTAAAAGCATTTATTAGGTGCTATTAAATAATTTCTGACAGTCCTGCATTTCCTACAGATGCTGCGGACAATTTTTTGTCTAGAATTCGATAGTCTGAAAAAAGTACTTCAATAGAATTGGGGCATAAATTTGGTTTTTGTAGAATTTATATTGGATTGAAAGAAATCTGCAAAAAAATGAGAAACCCAAATTTTTCATAGTGTGCAAATATGAGAAAATTTGGCTTTTTCGTCAAAGAATTTTGAATGCAGATCACGATTTTCAATGATAGTAAGTAAGAAGTAAGTAGGAACAACTTATCTGTAGCAGAAGTACCAATTCGCTATTTTCTAAGCATGAAATAATAGCAGAATTAAGCTTATGAATCATAGTTATGTTGGGCATAACTTCCCTTACCCATGAACTAGAATTCTGAATAGTTGATATGTGATGGAATCTTCGAACTGTTCATCGACAAAAAATCCTGCATAAAGAACAATTAGAAAAGTTTTTATGAAGATGTTATGCCAAAACAAAATTATTTTTTAGTTGACCTAATAGATTAAGTTATACCAGATTTCTCCAAAAGTTTGGAAAATTATCTGATGAAAGGGAAAACAAGTTCTCATGCCACATCAAGCTGCCTTTAGGCGACACAACCACGCAATTTTTGAAAGCAACTCAACACAAGTTTTTCAGAATCATCCCACGCATCATACCGAATTCTTATTATGCGATACACACCAAACTTGGTGCCTAGCATTTATGTTGTCGAACGATTCAGTAGGTTGGTTGTGTAATAAGTTCAGCCGCTTTATTTGCTTTTGTCTTTTCATTGCCAATATTTGTAGCAACTGATAAATTGTAATTTGTGTTTAAACGCCCCAAGTTTGTTTTGCAAAATTATCCCCATTCCTCAATTAAATCTTTGGCTATGAAGCGACAAAAAATTTTAAAAAATCAGTCTTCGAACATCTTTTTTCTCTTCGAGTAGGCCCGTTTTCCCTATTTTGTTCAACTTGACTGTAAAAGAACATCCAACCAATCACATAGATACTGTCGCTGTTTATGCTTGCTCTCCTCCTTTTACATCAATGCCATTTGTTCCAATGATCGGAGGAAGCAGGTCTTTTGAGAAGCATTTAGGTAATTGAGCATTCAATGAGCATTTGAACAAGCAAGGACTCTTGCTTGCTTCTTCCAAATCTAGCCCCACTCTTATAGCTAATGGTTTATGCTTCCATCAATAGACAACATGAAGGTACTTACTCTATCATTCTTGGCTGCTAAGGCCAGTATCACTATTGCTACTACACAGGCAGTAAATACCAGCGTTCCAAAGAAGCCGTAAAGGAATCTGAAATGACTAATACATGTCCGATTAGCGAGCGATGAAAGATGTTGGACAAGATTTGCTTTCAGCAAAAGCAGAATAAGTATTCGCAGTCTTTATCCTTTTCTCAGAGGTAAATGGGATCACACTGGGCAAACAGGACCAGACTTTATCTCAGCTCTGTGAAGAGTAAACAATTACGACTGAATTTGCTGCACAGCTGCTTGCTTTATTGCTTTGTTCTAAAAAAACATTTGACACACTATATCAAACTTTTGCGAATTCTCTATGTAACTGCTATAGGCAAGGCAACCATCTTGAATCAATTCAGCATGACTCTTTTTTTTACAAATTATAAGTCAAGGTTTGTTTGGTCGATTCACAGCTTAGGATGATGCCAGATGGTCATTCTGCAGCAGTGCTAGAAAGAACGCAGGAATTTACAGGATCCTATACACTGAAAAAGGTTTCTAAGGTCGCAGTATCTCATGGCTTCCTTCAACATGATTGGCAAGCAATGCTGGAATGGAGAGTGAGAACTAAGCTCATTTTGATTCTCATACGATCATGACCGTAATAATTGGTTGACTTTGATTGATTGATTTTTTACATCAAGTTTTTTTATGTACTGAATTGCACTAATTTAAACCGGAGAAACTAACAAATTGTCTAATGCGAGACAACCCAGCTGTCTGGAGTGATAGAAGCGCTATTTTTTACTACTACCTTTAGTTGTACACAAGAAAGAATGGAATGTATCAATCGCAGTAGAATTGATTACCTCTAATATCTGATTTTGATGGATCGAAAGAGTAATTAGAAAACTCAAATTTTCAACAAAAATATCAGAAGAAGATTTTCGGTATAACTTGCTAAGCTTATAACGTCATAAAAATGTGGCTACCATTTCCAGCAAAAAAAAACATACTGATGCTTCTTACTAGCTACGGAATAACGCAGTGTTCGCATTGAAAAATGACTAGTCTTTCTAAGTCTTTGTGGATAAGAATAACGTAAATAATTCACAAAGAATAAAAAGAGATTCTTGGTCACTGTTAAACGCAACATTCCTCATAAACTTTAACTACCGCATAAAGTGGCATCAGCATGAGTACTGATATTTGTGGTTTGGCGTCACCGAAACTACTTTCTCGACAATCAATAACTGAGAGAAGAAACAGCGAAACTTACCCGCGGTTGCTGTCTTTTTCTTCGGAAACCTCAGCGTTTCGGCTGCTCGCTTCAACATCCCTCTCATTCGCCGCATTATTCACGGTATTAGAGGAACTGATTGTTGCATAGAGTTGGCCCGCTAAACAGCACCGTTTGTTAAAGATTTGAGATCATAAATTCGATGTCCAACCGGTTACGAGGTAAATCAGTTTTCATGGAGTTTAACAGAGAGATTTGAATCAGAATTTTCTTACATTACCTACAGAACTGCTTTTATTACCTACAGAAAACCACCCTCAAATAGTTTGCGGAACGCGATCCGGCGACGGCCTGCCGATTTACCCTACGCCTTCCAACAAGCATTTTTAGACGATGCCTTCTTTCTAGGCTTGAGTGACCATACAACCGAGGCTAAGGCAGAGGGGGGCACACCCCTTGCCCTTGTTGCTTCATTGGAGCCTTCGAACCGGAAAAAGGTTTTATGCGGACTACAATACGTTTGAGGGGTAGGGGGAGGGAGGGGAAGAAAACTTATTATCTGTAGAACAACAAGTATCAAGTCCTAATGGGACGCTGCCTTTATGGCTGCTCTTGAGATTTGTTCAGAACATACGTATTGAACACTGAAATTATTTCCTTGTACTTGTTTCCGTCAAAATGACATACATAACCTTTGACTCAACAGGCCTGGCGGCTGGGAGCGGGGTTTCGTGACCTAATCAAAGCGGCTCGCGCGCGACGCAGTCTGCGTCTTTCCCGCGCGCCTGCTCTCTGATTATTACCTAGCCTTAAGTAGGTTACGAACCCACGCCTTTCAGCCGCCAAGCCAGTTGAATTAAAGGATATATAGCTAAGCGTAGTTCAATACATAAGCACCGTCAACAGTTGGTGGTTACCAGTGAGAAGATGTCAAAACTGTGTTGTGGTTATCCACTGGTCCAGAGGTTTTGACGAAAACTACGCAGATATTCTTTGGATTTTCTCAATTCTTGTCCCAAAAAACACACATCCGACCCTCACAACAAAACCTCCATGATCATAGCTTGAACCTGAAGAAGTAAATAAATCACAAGTTTTGTGGTAGCGTCAATTCGCTAACAGCGTTGTGTACTTTGGTTTCAAATAATCTTACTGCGCTATATTTCTTACTCATCGTTCTTCTAGTCACATGAAAAGCATGAGATCCCAATGTCTAGAAATTTAAAAGGTGTGCAGTTGTACCCGGTTGATAAATTACTATAAGTAGTGTCGAAAAATTCGTTATAGGGAATTTTCTTACGGAATGCAATGGTACGGGTTGTTTTAATGTGCAGGGCCTGATGAGCTTTCACACTTACAGTGAATCAGCTGTATTGTAAAATCTATACTTTTGATGCTCTCACCATGTCTCAGCAGAGGTGGCGCCTTCACACGCCAGATGTCGTTTCTTGAGGGAAGCAAAACGAAAATCGTAGAGTTTTGGGGGAGGATTCTCGGATCTGACGAGGCTTTATCGATTTTACACTTCGTACTATTAGGCACGCATGCACATTAACATACCTGCGGCAAGGGAAACGGCATCCTCTGTTAGAAGGAGTCGCAGGCGAACGCCCCCGCGGCTTCTTTATCAATGGGGACGCCGATCCTCTTGCCGCAGGGATGGATGCATACGGGCTTTAATAATCCCGGATTCAAAGCTCTAACGTCATTTTACCAGTAACAGGCAAATTCACATGTTGCAAAAACGATTACACAAGCTTTTATGCGCACGATTCCCAACGTGTTGAAACATGACCTACATGAACGAAAAGATAAGCAACTAGTTTGTTAACAACAACTAACAAGGAAAGGGTAACTAATGGCCGTGGCCTTTGGAATATGTTATATATCGAAATGCTTGCCTTGAAACGCTGATCTCGAAACTATCTTCGTTAGCTGCAGAACGTTTTTCTGAGAAGAATTAGCGCCTGTAAAAGCGCTAACGTAGAAATTTTTGCACGGATGGAAATCAGACGGGCACCCATTGTGCAGTAATCGACAGCGCTAACCACTAAACCATTCGAGACCTCCAGCATCTAGCGAAATTACTCGTACTCTTGTGCAAACGCGTCAAATGAGGGGAAAGACGGTTTTTCCGAAATATCGTTCTGCAGATAACGGATACGGTTTTGAGATTAGCGTCTCAAGGCGAGTGTCATGACATATGTCACATATCGAAAGGCCACGGCCAACACGTATCCTCTCCCTATAGGCGATATAAGCGATATTAAGCCATAAAACCTAATGTATAGCTTCGCGACGATGACCAAAAGAAAAGTATGAAACGCGAAAAAAATTGTGTGATTGAAAGGAGTTATAAGTGATTTCAAGTATAATTGATGTACTGGATATTATTCAGACAATATACAAGCATTCGCAGCTCCTAACCTAATTTTTGGCGGTACGCGGACCTTGATTTCTCGGTTTCTGAGGGACCATCCGCTTAAATTTGTTTGTCTGGCAACCCGCTGCTCAATGTTATCGCGAAAGAAAGGCCGCAGACCCTAAATGTTTTATCGGATTACCTGCAACCCCAAGAATAAAGGCTCTCGCGAGCCCCGGGTTACTAAAGCACTGCATACTCAATTTCCGGGCAAACCCCAGACCCTAACAAGGTTTTTGGATCGGGTTTACCGCGGCTCCTTTCGGACACCGTTCATATCTCATTTCTGTAGAGTCGCGGGCCTTAGTGGGCGCTATAAACATTACTGATGGGCGAGCCCCGCCTTTTAGGCCACTGTCCGATAAAAGCATTCTCGCGAGCCCTGGGACCCGGGGGCACCAGCCTTACTGGACGCCGCAATTCTTACATGCTGTAAAAGAAAACGTGAATAGCATGAGATACGCCGCGGTGATAGGGCTACCATTACCATTTGCGGGATTCGCTATCGCATCTCGTGACTAACAGTAAAGTAAGGTTCTCAAAATTTTTGACAGTGTCTTGAATGAACACTAGAGGACTAACTGATGTTGGAACAAGGCCGGTTTCTGGAAATCCAGTGGGACTTTGTAGAGTTTTAGACGACCGGTCATATTTTTATAGGATCGCGACCCTTTATGCCAGGCTGGAAAGGATTCAAGCAGGTGTTCAAAATTTTGAAGTTTAAAGTTGAAATATGTGCTTCATCGGTTTATCGGGCGCATATCGCCCATTGGACGCTTGACGGGCCATCCGCGGGTATTGTTCGGGCGCTGTCGGACGCTTAGCAGGTCCTTATGGTTCCTTCATATTACGCCGCAGGACGCCGCAGCCTACCGCCGCACGCGGCAGCACGCCGCGGCACGCCGCGTCCTGTGGTGCGCCGCTGCAATCGCGGTGAAGATATAAGCTCGTCGCTGTGGAGAAAACTCTCGGAAAACACGAACTGCAGCAAACATAGATATACATAAGCGGCGAAGCTGTGCTACCGTGAGCGTGGGGCGCACGCCGCAGGATGCGGCGTGCTGTGGCAGGCTGCTGCGTCCTATGGCGTAGTATGAAGGAACCCTTTAGGGCGCGCCCTTGGGACGGGAGTGACGTTACCTTTGGGTAATCGGCGAGTGCTCATTATGATTGTCTGAGAGGTTACAAGGGTTTGTTTGGGATCAGTGGAATCGGATTTGGATGCTTGTTGCAAATTAGTTTAGCAGAGTAGCCTTCAAGTCCTTCATACTAACTTTTCATGCCTAGACACACGCCATACTTTATCCTCTTGATCCACTTGATCCGCTTGATTTGCTTGATCTGCTTCGTGCAAAACGCGGTCACTAATTTTTTATTTGGCGTCGCGTACGGCGAATTTGCTTGACGATACAAAATTCCTTTTTACCTACGCGGCGCCAAATGACAAACTGCTTGCGTTATGCACGAAGTGGATCAAGAGGATCAAGCGGATTGAGCAGATTAAGAGGATTAAGAGGATCAAGCATGGCGGGTGCCTAAGAAGCACGCCGCAGATACTGAAGTGTATAGCCTTGAAGCAAGATCGCATCTACTGCAAATTTCTAATGCTTAAGCAGTACTTGATTCCTAACTTGAGAGCAAAACGGCTCTGATTTCGTGAACTACCTATTTCAGAGGTGCAACCCGCAGCCCTGTTGCTTTAGAGGAAATAGCCGTCAATGTTTCGCTTAGGAACTAATTTTGGTATTGAACCTTTTGAGAAAGTGTACCCATCAATTCAATTGGATTGACGGCTGGAAGGTGGAGTTGCGTGACCTAGTCGAGGCTAGAGAATGATCAGAGAGCATTAGAGAGAAACTACGTCGCTGGCGCGAGCGGCCACAGTTGGGCCACATAGCCCTCTTGCAACCGCCAATCCAGTTTAATCAAATGTTATAGGGAGACAGCAGCTTCACAAGGCGCGTGCGGGGAGCCAGATGATTACATCAAAGGCAAAGAATGGTTTGTAGTAGTCTCATGCTACTTGCAGAAACTTAGACATTGTGCAAATTTTACGTAGCCGTTTACTGTTCTCACCTTCTACATCTGTGGACTTCACTGGGTCGATATCTTCCTGCAGGTAGGGTTTTGATGAAGAACTAGTGGCGAATACCTGACTAAATGTTCTTTGACTATTGTACATAATATATATCAATTACACTTTGCATGCAAATCATTTGACGTTATTGACTGTTAAGCGTTCGATTGCATGTGCGTTTCATATCTGGAACTACTCCGTGAAGCACAAAATTTGTATTTCGTTTTCCGGAAATACAGTCATGACTGATCGATGACATGTAAGGATGGTACACAAGTATTTGAAATTTCAAAATTTTCATCCTTGAAGCTATGGATTCGTTGAACAATGATGATTACATCTTTCACAAGCCAGTAACCGTTAATCTGTGTAGCAACATTCATCTCCCTTGTGCCGCATAGGTTAAGTCTTGTTCAATGGATCCGGCTTCTTTTTTGAAAGACGCTAAGAAACAGCTGTTACTCTTTCAAGACATTTGCGACTTTTGTTTAAGCAAAGCAGGAAGAAGAAGATTTGCGGCGTCTGTGGAGTGCTAAGAGAATTCAATATCAGGGCGGTGCTAGAGACAGCCCAGTTTGAAAACACTTTCTCCCTCTCGAATGCTCTCTGCCTGACCGGAAAAAAAGAAAAAACATCCAATTTCGGCTCAATGTGTTGATTTTTACCCTGACATGTAGCAGAGAAGCAGTACTATAGGATCTATAAAAAACAGTTTTAGGCTAATGCGCGTTTATGTGAACATCTCGAAAAAAAGGTTTCGGATGACGAAAAATACAGCAAAGGCTCTAGAATACTTTCACTTTGTGATCATGAAAGAAGCACAGCGCCACTAAAGCATCTCCGATATGTCGCATGTTGAGAAATCATTCTGCTAATAATAAATGATAGATGTGAAGAGAAAAAGTTGTGACACAGTTGCAGCGCCATGCATGTCCGATCATTGAAATTTTCACGCAACATGACCGACCACTCGTTCTAAATGTTGAACTACTTTGTCGTGCTCCTATAAAGGGATTCCAATCTGAGTGCCACGATCGCTCGGATCTTCCCTCGTTTGGGTCTCTCGTCGCGTTCGCCATCAGCAGGTATGTAGCTTCCCAAGCTTGAATCGTGGGAGATAATTTTTAGGCATCAATGGCTGGCGAGATAAAGATAACCGTCCAGTAGATGGCAGAAGCGAGGTGGCTCTGGATCCGAGCCATGGTACGTGGCACTCAAATTGGAACCTCTTCATAATATTTGATCAGCACAAAATTTCCACAAAATCGCTGCACCGCTGTCTTTGTCAAAGCATCGAAGGTTGCTCGTTTTGAAGGCTAAAAAAGTGAGGACTCCAACAAAAGTTCTGTGGCCGTATTCATCAACGAACCCTGAGGGTTAAATGTACCCCCAGGGTTAGTTTAACCCTCAGGGTTCATTGGCCGTATTCATCAACCATAGGGTAGGGTTTGCCACCAAACGCAATCCACCCGTATCGATCAACGAACCTGTGGCCGTATTCATCAACGAACCCTATGGTTGATGAATACGGTCAACAACCTTGAGGGTTAAACTAACCCTTGGGATAAAGGCGTTAGTTACGCGTGCGTGGGCAAACTCACATCACAGAATGCCTAAGTACGTGCTAAATTTACTTTATACTTCTATTCTTTCACTGTTATAGTAGTATAATCAACAAATAAGCTTCCAACACTAGTTTTTATAACACATCTCTAGCATATTTGTGCAGCATCCAATCTTACGGCGTGAGTTTATTTTCATGTGTGCAATTGTGCCGTGTAAGTTCTACTTTTGCGCAGTTCGTTTTATACCGGGCTTGTGCTACTCTTTTAGGGGTCAATGCGTGTTATCATAAAGTGGTTCTTCTGTTTTGGCACTTGTCAGAGTGGAATGCGCAACCATTTTTCCTCGTCGCATTCATTTGTCACCAAAGCTAGAATTCTTTTTCTCGCGAACTCAGTGTTTCATGTACTTCGAATTTGAAAATAAAACGAAGTCGAAACTAAATACGATAGCAACAACTAATACTAAATACTCAATACTCGTTGATCGTTTTTAATAAAACTATTAGATGCGAGTAAATGTTTGTATGAAGTGTCAGAGTAGAGTTAACCTTGCTCTAAGCTAGGGTTAAATTAACCCTGATGAATTACGTAAGTTTCACCCTCCAGGGTTAGTTTAACCCTCAGGATTCGTTGATGAATACGGGTCAATCGCTTTCGGTGTAAGGTTTACCCTCAAGGGTAGATTTAACCCTCAGGGTTAAGCCTACTCTGTGTTTCATGTATACGGGTTAATTGCTTTCCAGGGTTAAACTAACCCTCCAGGGTTAGTTTAACCCTCAGGGTTCGTTAATGAATACGGCCACTGGTCACGCCACGCAATCTGGCTCACAGGTGCGATAGTGTGAGAATTTTCTCACCCCCTCTTCACCCCTGAGCCGGGACCAAGGTGACCCCCTTCACCAAAAGCCGAGAAAAAAATCAACAGTGAGGTAAGGTTAAGCAAAGGAGATATTTGTACGTGAATTGTTCATTTATAGGAAAGGAGGAGTCTGTTGAAAAAAGTGCTTGGTGACGGGTGTGCTTGGTGATTTTTGAAGATATTCGAGTTTTTATCATAAAAAAATTATAACTTTTGTAGATGAACATCTTTTACGCCGTGATAGTCACTTTCAAAACCGTCTTGTCCTCCGCTTTCAGAAAATATATACTTTGCCTGGGTCCTTCAAAAAAAAGTGCCAGGTGAAGGGTGGGTGAGGCTTTTATAATGGGAGTGCTCAAGTACAGGCTACAGGCTTTTTTACCATTGTAAAAAGATGTCTACTTGAGCACTCCCATTATAAAAGTCTCACCCACCCTTCACCCCGCACTTTTTCTGATGGACCCCAGGCAAAGTATATATTTTCTGAAAGCGGAGGACAAGACGGTTTTGAAAGTGACTATCACGGCGTGAAAGATGTTCATCTACAAAAGTTATAAATTTTTTTATGATAAAAACTCGATTATCTTCAAAAATCACCAAGCGCACCCTTCACCCAGGCACTTTTTTAATGGATCCCAGGCAACTATATATTTCTAGAAGCGAAAGACAAGGTGGTTTTAAAAACATTTACCTTGCTGACATTGCTGTTCATCTACAGAAATTACGAATTTCTTCTTTGAAAAAAAATTCGCAAATGCTTAAAAATTGTCTAACTCTTTCCGAAACAAATGTTCTCGCATGCACATCTTCTATGGTAATTCCAAAAACAGGCAGGGCGATGTAAAAAAGGGAAAGGGAAATGTAAAAAAATACAAGGTGTTGGTCAGAAATATAACTGTGTGCTAATCCAGCAGCGCATCGGTTCACATTTCAGAAAAAAGACAAACAGTGATGGTAAGGAATTGGAAATTATGAACCTTGACTAGAAAAACGATGGCTCCCCCCCCCCCTCCCCCCCCCCCGTCGACATTTTATGATTTCTGTACCAAGTAAAACACCCTTCACCCTGGAGGGGCTGCGACCACTGTGACCCCCTTCACCCTGGAGGAGTCATTCTCACTTTATCGCACCTGTGATCTGGGACTGCTGGCAAACTTGGGGAATGTGAGCCATGAAAAACATTAACTATTGCCACCTATGCCCACGCATTGTTTGGCTCACGAAGCGGACCTCGTTTGAAAAAAATGCATAATCTGAGCTTCCGTGTTTGGCAACTTCCAATTCTTTGGAAGATTTTCTGACTTTCGATAAGAAATGAACGTGTTTACTTTTCAAGCAAACAAAGTTCCCTCAACTCTCCAGCCTAATTGGAAGCAAAGAACTGAAACGCTTCAAAGTTCTGTGTGCGGACGAACAGAAATGAAGAAATAATAGCTGCAATCATGAATTATAATAAAGCGCTAAGCATCTGTCTGTTTATCTGTGTGTGTATATCTGTCTGTCACGAAATTCACAGAGTGAGTTGCAGCCAGCCTCTTGATCTAGAATTTTGGTCATAGCATCCTGTCACCGCGTAGGTAAATGGTAGGTAACTGTGCAAAATCACAAGCCGATCCAGTAAGTGGAACCATCGAAAACTGTGCGTCAAACGGATCCACGCTACTTTTGGCCCGCCAAAATGGGTCGGTAATTGGACTTTTTGCAAAGTCGTGGATTTATTCAGCAAGTATTCTAAAAACATTGACTTCAGCTCAAAAAGTAAGCAAAAAGTCTATTATTACACAAAATTGGCGCCAAAAAGATGTAACTGAGCAAATTGTCGATTTGCCAAGTTTTTACTATGAAAATCGAGAGGATTTTTGAATAGATATGTAGCTCAAGGTGGTCTTTATCCTTATGGCGAACATAAAGCCAAAATAAATTCAGTAACCCATTCAAAATCGCATTTGTTTTTCTGCGGGAAAATTTTTTCTCCCAAAATTACCAATCTTACATGGAAAAGCTTTAAAAATGAATGGTTGTTTACATTCATTCGTGATGTTCAGCATCGCGCGGTGAGTTTCAAAGTCATTACTATGTGATCACGAAGAAGGCACGGATAGCAGAGCCAGTGCGAACCTCTGCGAAGCAGAGGTGATGCACTGGTTGTATAAACACTGGCGGAAGATGTGCAAGTTCAATTTGTTGTTCTTGGTAGCCACACAAACCCGGGTTCGCAAATCACCTACTCTCTTCAGTGGCATAGTTGTTCGCATACCCACAAATCATCAAATCTAGATAAGGTCGAAAATTTATCGGAATCCAGGCAAAGCGCTAAGCAGCGGCGACGACCGCGAAACCGAAGCGAGCACGATCGCACCATCAAATGAGATGTCATATTGAAAGGGATACTGCTGGTGCAGTGTGCGATTGTTGTGTGCCATACCGTTTACTTCACCTTGCTCACGCATCCCGTGTCAGGGTGCCATAATACTTTGCACCGCTTCGCTTGTATAAACCGACTCCCTACATCTAATGATGGGCTTATGTTGACTTTACACAAATATGTCTCACTTGACGCTTGTCATAGTAGCTGCGCAGATGATAAAGAACTGGTTCGTGTAAATAAGCCAACTAAGAAAATTTATCTTAAGTAGTTGATTTTGCAGTTTGAATTCCGCAATCTAACGCCTTTATTTTTGTGATGATCTATGATGTGACTCACCTCCTCCGAACTTCTCGCCTCCTCTGAATCCTTCACATCCTCTGAGCTCATTTCCGTTCTTTGACCCTATAAAGGCAGTGTCCAAACAAATCTGGGTGCATGGGTTTTTTGCACAGAAATTGACAAGGGGGTCCTAGCTAAGGCACTGCTCAAACAACAGCGCAAATGATTCATTCACGGCTGGGAAATCTATCCCCAAACACTTTGCGCCTACGCCATGACTAGGATAAGTACGTAAGCTAGATTGATAAGTTGGAAGATTTTGCGATTGAAATTATGAGAGCAGGGGAAACACAACAACAACAATGCTGTCATGATACATAAAATATGTGAGACAGAGCCAGGTTAACGAATGTGGCATTGGAGGATCACTGGGCGAACTTTGATGTAGTCCATGTTCAAGATGCATTCATATTTGACAAACGCTAGTCCCTTGCACAAACATGTTTGACATTTCTGTGGCGGAATGATTCACGCGGCTCCTTGTATACAAACGTCTATGCATACAGAAAGCGATTATACCATCAAATTGGTATCATAATTTGTTCTCGTTAGAGCAAATAATGTAAGGATAATACTGCTAGATATCTATTCTTGAATGTTTCTACTCAAATACGGCTCACGAATGCACTACTGGCAAATGAACACCTGCGATGCCCTATTAATTGAGGTTTGCGTACTACACATCATCATCGGCCAAGCATATCCAACAAGCTTGATTGGTTTTAGGTGTTGTCAGTAACTAGGCTGTTGAAAAGGTCTGGCAACTTTTTTTGTTGCACTGCGCTCAACGCAGTAGTTTTTCGATTTTGCACACAATGTGATAATATCGATGCCGTTTGATGAGTTTAAAAGCGAATCGCTGTTTCAAAAAAGCAGCAATTTTTTTGCTCAGAAAGCAGGGCCGTGTAGCAAATGCTCTTATTGGGACTGCCAGCAAGCAAAAAAGTAGGAAAAGAGGAATGCAGCAGATTATTACAAGATAAGATTGAATTAGCTCGCTCCAAAAGTTGTCCATTCCTTTTCATTGTGTCGCGCCGCTGTCCAACTGTTTTGTACCCGTATACCGTAATCGCATATATCTACCGTTCGCAGCGCTTTTCTCGCTCTTTTTGATGTTTTTTGATTTGCTCAACGAGATTCGGATGCGCGTGTTATTGACACCCACTTGCTATTGTTCTTCTTGCTCGTCACCCGAAAGGTTCCTGTAATGAAGTTAGTTTGTTATGAAGTCATGTTGTAAAGCATTACGTCCGGTAGCGCATATTATCAAATTGTAAACATGCTTCTAAAAGATGCCTCCAAGAAATGCTGCAATGCTGTCATTGAATCACCTTGTAGTAGACGATAGAGGATAAGAGAGTGACAGACCAACATGGAACATGAGATGCATTTGGTGAAAACCTTTTGGACAGCTACTGAAACAATGCAATAAAAACGGACTAAAATGTTAGAACAATGTAGCGCCATTCACTTAATTTTCGTTATTACTGCCTTCCTTTTTATCCGTTTCTTGTTTACTCGTAGATCGTAGCCTTGCTATAAATGCGTCTGCAAATTTCAACCAAAATTCTTTGTGCCCTTTTTATGCATACGCCGTGGATTCTAAGCAAATAATGAGCATTTCCTTATCTTGCCCACAAGTCTCCTCCTAGCTAAATGTAGGATATTAGCACCCCTAAATGATGCGCGCAGTAGTAGCTATTTTAGTTCAATTGTCACCCTTGCCATAAATCGTATCTACAGGCTATGAAACATCGCCCGCGCTTTGCTTTGAATACTAACGAACGAATCGGTTGGGTAGGTTTGGTCCCGAAGCGTTATACAATTGTCACAGGCTGCACATCTGTGATCGTATTTCTAGAGTTTTGATTCACCTTCAATGAAAACATATTTTATCGTCGAGTCGTTGTTTCACGGCCTGAACACCACAACGGAGCACGTGTCGCGAATATAAACGTTCTCCCCAGTACAAATCGCATTGTTACAAGTCGTACTCTCGCAATATGTTAGCCGCGCCGTGCGTGGTCCGCAACGTCTGAGCACTCAGTGCGGCCAACGACGGTAAAACTTTGAAAGGGACACGGAAGTAGATGAAAAATTCTAAAACCAAGGTGAAGGTCTGCAGTCTTGCGCGCAGCCGCTCGCTTATGCTACCTTTAAGACACGGCGTTGGAATTAGGTTTTATATAGCTTGTAATCTATACAGTTTTGGGTTTGAGTGTGATGAAATAGAGTTGCAGATAAGCAAATATAGTTGTCCATAACACTTACCGAATGCCAAGAAGCCGCGCATGTTCAACCTATCGCTTAGCACATCTTAAAAGTATGAATAAAACGTTGTAAACGCAAGTATGCATGTGTATGCATGCTTTATCTCTGAGGCTATGTGTGGATTCACATGTAGAAATGAAACCTATTACCCCTATTACAGGGTCCAGTAGTTTTCAAGTAAATAAGCATATGCGGACATAGTATCATGGAGATTACAGAAAAGAAATTTTTTCATCGATTCAGTCAAGGATCTGTGGTAACTTGATACACACCGCCTCAGGGCTCATTAAAACTCCAGCGTTAGTGTTACCCGTGCGAAAATAGAAATATTCACGAGCTTAATTTTTCAACATTGAGCACGTAATCAAATTTGACATAGAATGATTCCTCTAGATTTAACCTACTTGTCTCTAGTTTTTTGACATGTCTCCACCTTGGACATCGATTTTTTCAATATGTATGACGTTCCACTTCGTGCACAATGGTTTCAGTTCATTTTCGCCGATCGCAAGTTGCAATCAATGAGTGTTACTGTCATTACCTTATGTTCAAATTGCTCCTGTTATGTACTTGCGTTACACTTAAGAATTATGCACGGCAACGCTGCAAAGTTTTGCGTAAATTCGTTGAAACTTGATTGACGCGAAAGCAGAGAAGGCGAGCATTGGGGGTATTGTTGATCAAAAATAATGCAAATGGTGCGCTTTATATAACAGTAGCTGGTAGATGTTTATGTTGATGAATGAGTTGCTTAAGATGGACTGACAAAATGAACTGTCTTTCTGGAGCACTGGAACATAGAGCTTTCATTGAGCTCCGTTTCCTTTTCAATGCGTATGAGACCCTATGAAGAAGCGCATGCAACAAAAACTACACCAGAGAGGAGTGCGGGGCTTGAAAGAAGCTCTATATCATGGTGCTTCACGCATTTGATAGTCACGTTATTTATTCATTTCTTACTGTTGTTTTTTGGAGACCTAATTAGAAAACTGCAATAATTGTGGGCTCGTTTTTCAACTTTCTTGCATGATCTCCTGCAACTGTCTTTATATGCAGGCGATGTAAACGCAATTCTACGATTATTCATGCAACAAAGCTAAGCAAGTGGCAAGTAGAAGTGGAACATTTGAATAGTTGAGATTTTCGATAAACGAAAGGAGGCAGTGGTTTCCGAAAAACTCACTATTCCATCTATGGACCGAAACCTTGTCTACTGGAGAGATCCAAACTTGATTTCACATTTGGAAGAGGTGGACCATATTTAAAAGTAGCTTGAAGGCCGATTCAAATATGCGTCAGCTGCTAAGTACTACTCTGTGGGACAGTTGTGATAACCTCACTACCCTGTGAGACAAGTTGTGATAACCTCCAACTCCTCTCTCTTTCTTTCTTTCTTTCCTTCTTCCTTCCCTTCTTTCTTTCTTTCTTTCTTTTTTTCTTTCTTTCTCTCTCTCTCCCTTTCTCTGACATGCATATAGCGAGAAGTTTACAGGAACTTCGACAATCTGCATTCGACAATCTGCAAATTCGACGATCCCGCCTGATGCCGCATTTTATAGGCCTTTAGACGGAGATGGAGAGTTCAAATCTCATTGTTTCTTTTTTCGTCAGGCAACACTCATTTACGTTCCAAGCTGAGGTTGATGACATTTTGATATTATGTAATAGCAAGGCCTAACTGAGCAGTCGCACAAGTATTACTGCAGACGATATATTCCATAGCGAGAAAGCCGCTTCAGAAGGTAGGAGCGGTCACGGTTTTTCAACGTAAGTGGTCTGAAATTACCGGTCCAAACTTTGGTTTCAGGATAGAAAGAAAGGTTGCAAGCTTGATCATCTAATGAAGGGCGGATCTATGATAATATAGATATGTCGGAAGCCAGTTTTAGACTTGTTTTCTTCACACCACTCAGAGATGGGCGGAGCCAGCAGGAAGCTTCTACCTCTCGAAACGGTTTTGCCTTGAAACTCATCTTTTACAGCGCGATATGAGCGATGGCTTCGTTAAGGGTTCCAACATCAAATTCCATCACTCTCAATCTAGATGGAAGGTGTGCATCTTGATAAATGAGGCTATCACTACGGCTTACGAACCGAACATGTTCCGCCTCAGCCAAACTTTCAACTTGCGGTATCATGAGACAACCGACAAGAAAGGAGCGGAAAATATGTAATAAATTCCCGTCCATGAGAGGAGTAACCCCAGAGAGGTTTTGGAAAAGCAAGTTGGGAGCAGGACGAAGATCTGATATGGTCTATAGGAAGCATGAAGACGATAATATTGAGGCTTTCGAATGCAGAAGAATTTTGTCGGTTTGGAGATATGGAGGTAAAAACAAAACGGCTTGTTATCTTTTCATGTTTTTTTTCTTTCCAATTGTTCCTGTAAAAAGACAGCAGGTATTCACATTTTTCTTTAGTTATAGGAGACCACTCTCCTTTTGTCATGTGTGCAGAAAAGCCTGTTTCATAAGCCAAGGAGTCATTTGCACAACAAGAAGGGAATCAAAATGACGGAAGTTCCCTGTAAATGACATATTCTCTTATAGTACGATAGTATACGTCAAAATCTGACGCGCAAACGGATAAATGGGAGCGTGCTTTCGGAAATTCGGAAGAGATAGTGCTGTTGAAGATCAGCGCTTGAATGACGCTTCACGACAGCGACTTGAAAATAATTGCTTTGCAATAAATGATACAAGTTGCAGAAAACATGCCAGCCATCTCCGATCCAAAAGTTCAAGAAAAGTAATGGTAAGTGGTATCTTAAGAAATGTCACTACATACTTCCACTTCACAAGAGCTGCGTAGAAGATGCTTTTGGTAGACTTATTTTGAGACCATAGCGCAAATCTGGCAGCTGTGTCTGGAACGGACTCTCAAAGATAAAGATTCCCCTCTTGCAAGTTTTACAGTATACACTGGTTGTATCTTGTCACACCTCCGCTGGTTCGTTGACTCAGTTGGTTAGCAATGTGACGCATGTCCTCGCCTCTTGGCGGTACATGCGTGTTGGATGGATACTGCGTGTATGCAAATGCACGATTTGCTTATGCCTTAAGAGTAACGTGTTCACAAATAAAGTGGTTGGCCTCATCGATTGCTTTATCCATGTTATCGCAGATTTCGTTCAATCTCATGACTTTGTTATCGAAACTGCTAATCGGCCTATTAATATCTGCTTCTTTACTTGAATGTAGCACCCAGGCAAATCTGAACCTATTGAGATGATTTTCCGAAAAAAGTAATTTTGGGCCTGACTAAGCCACTGCACAAGCGGCAGCGCAGGTGACTTACTAACGGCTGAGATATACGCCTCCAAAATGGACCCCAGGATCGTATTTCGCATGGATCCATTGCGCAATCCATCAGTTTCGCGCGAGGACCCACGCGTTGCGCCATGAATCCATGCGAAATACGGTCGTGAGGTCCAGTTTCAAGGCGAATACATATCTCAGCCGTTAAAGCACTACCTGAGCTGCCGCTTGGGCAGTGGCTTAGTCAGGGCCCCAAAATTGCTTTCCATGAAAAATCTCCATAGGTCCAGATTTGCCTCGACGTTGCCTTCAAGATTTTTCAGTGCATCAGTATTAAACACATGTCAATAGTAGAACGCAGTTAAAATATTCATTTCTTATTATTCGCAAGTTTCACTAAATAGTCGCCCGTTGTTGAACAGCCCGTTGTTAGCCGCCCGTTGTTGAACATGCAGGGGAAGCGCCCATTCCCCGTAGGTGTCAACTCAAAGGCAGTGGATCGGCAGAATGAGTCCCTTGGCGAAACAAGGTTACAGGGTAGGAGCCCCCATAATGTAACCTATGGGCCAAAGTTCGATCTTTCTCTGCCACTTCTAATCCCGAAATTTCAAAGCGAAAGCAGCGCTTTCTCCTCTCCTCTCCGACCTCGCCCATCCCATGGACGAGTGACTTCGGCGGTCAGAGCGCCATGCCGCAATGCTATAAGCATAAGGGTCCCGCAATGACTCTTCGCCATGGCTAGCTTCGCGTTCACTCGTCCATGGGGGGGGGGAGGGGTGGGCGGGGTCGGAGAGGAGAGGAGAGAGCGCTGCTCTCGCTTTGAAATTTCGGGGGTTAGAAGTGGCAGAGAAGGATCGAACTTTGGCCCATAGGTTCCATTATGGGGCTCCTACCCTGTGACCTTGTTTTACCACAGGTCTCATTCTGCCGACCCACTGTCCTTAAAGGCAGTGTCCGGGCAAAAAGTCCATTTCGAGATTTTGTGCTTATCTGGGCCTATTCGCTACGCTAAATCCGAAATGCACATTGGAGAGCGCGAAAACGGCCAAAAACGGCTCTAACACAGCAGAGTAATCAGCAGGTGGGCGGGTCCTCCTTACTGTAAATTCACGCTCCCAGCTTCCGGAGCGATCTTCTCACTTCCGGTTTCAGGGCAATCGTTCGCAGTTGGCCGGTGGCGATGTTAGGATGGCTAGCGGAATCGAGAAGACCGCTCCGGAAGCTGTGAGATGAAATCACAGTGGGGAGGAGTACCCGCCCACTTACTGTTCCTTTCTGCACTAAAGCCTTTTTTGCCGTTTTCGCGCTTTCTAGTATGGATTTTCGGATTCAGCACAGCGAATAGGACCGTATAAGCACAAAATCTCAAAATCGAGTTTTTGCCCGGACAATGCCTTTTATATCAGCGTCCAGGCAAATCTGAACCTTTGGGGCTCTCACGTGGAAAGTAATCTTGAGGCCCTAAGTAAGACTCTGCCCAAGCGGCAGTTCAGATAGTGCACTCACGGCTAAGATATTGGACTCCAAACTATGCCCCGTGACCGTATGCACATGGATTCGTGGCGCTTTCACGCGAGGATCTACATTGATGTGCCGAGCCATGAATCCATGCGAATACGGTCAAGGAGCATAGTTTGGAGCCCAATATCTTGGCCGTGGGTGCACTATCTGAACTGTCGCTTGGGCAGAGTCTTATCTAGGGCCTCAAGATTACTTTCCACATGAGAGCTATACTTGGGTCCGAATCGAATAGAAATTCGATCATTCGAATAAAACATTCGAATATATTCGTATTCGAGATTCGATATTCGGAGTTCTTCCATTTTCGAATAATATTCGAAACTCGAATATCATTCGAAAATGGAAGAACTCCGAATATCGAATATCAAAAAACAGAGTTTCGAATAAAATTCGAAAACTCGAATAATCAAAAAACGAGGTTTCGAATAGATTTTATTCGAATGTTTTATTCGAATGTTTATTCGAATTCGTATTCGAATGACTCCGTATTCAGATTATTCGACTTTGTTGTAGAGCCAACTGCTGAGTATCAAGCTCACTTGGTCCGCGTTTTTTTCCGCAAAACTCGGTAATGCATCTTTTGCAACCGTTATACCTTTGAACTGTATGGAGAGTCGCATTCTTCCGACTGCTTGCGACAGTAAAAAAATCATATGTGGATTTTAATCGATGTACAGGGTGTCCCAAAAGTATGTATGCGCTGTTTGATCGTTAATATCTCTCTTCCCAAGAAGTCTTTTGCCTTGCTTCAGGTACCATTTTGTAGAGCTGGCTTCAACTTAGATTTGCAGTATAGAACGAATCACCCGTCTCTCTTCATTACTGTAGGATTACGGTAGAAAATTGAAACATATGACGTCAATGTGGAAAAAGCTGCCGTTTCAAAATTTTTCAAAAAATGTGAAAACTTGTATAATAGGGTTTTTATGGACGCTGAGTTCAATACTCAACTATTCACAAGATTGCGAAACTTTCTAAACGGTGGAACCGCACTTTTTAGGAACACTGAAAAAATGGCCGCTACTGCTTATCTCGCATAACTCTTCAATGAAGCATCATAAAAAGTTGGGAACTTTACAGTTATAATCAGCAACTCTAATTAGTCTAGTGTAAAAGTTTTCAAGCTGTTTTGTTTCTTTTCTGAGGCAAAACATGGCCTTTCATGGCTCAAAACCCTCTTTGAAGTTTCTCCCGTAATCCTACAGTAATGAATAAAGGTGGGTGATTCACTTAATACTGAAATCTAAGTTGAAGCCAGCTCTACAAAACGGTACCTGAAGCAAGGCAAAAGACTCCTTGGAAAAAGAGATATTAACGATCAAACAGTGTATACATACTTTACGGACACCCTGTAGAATACAGTACAGTAGTAAATACAGTAGTAAAGTACAGTACAGTACAGTACAGTAGTAAATTTTTTTCATATCTTTGACTTTTGAACTTCGTATCATATCTTTGAATTTATGTGGCTGGCTTCAGCTTCCCTCCACAGCATAGAATAATATGAGCACTACGTAGTAGCAATAAATCATTCTACCCCCTTACCACTTAAAAATTACGATAGGAACCTTGACATATACAAAGCTAATTAGAGTCGTTGACTTTTGATAAAAAAATGTGAATCCACCATTAGAAAAGCTTTAGAATTCGGAAAAGGCAGTGTAGAAAAAGCAGCACATTAAGAAACTCTGCTACATAGCTTTCTTTTTCTTGGAAACTCTTTGGCTTATATTAGAGTGATGCAGTAGCGTACACAGGAACGAAAGAACGAGAGGAGGGGAAAGGGGCGCTTTTCCGTGAAGAGATCGCAAAATTTTTGAAAATTGCTTGTATAAGTTTCAAAAATGTGCAGGGACGCATTTATGCTTGTGAATGATTTGAAGTTCTTATTCTAAAAATCAAATTAATTCTGTAATATTAGGTTGTCCTGCAAGTTTTGTCCGTTTCTTTCATCGCTCACTAAAACAGAGAACATCAATCTATAAATGTCTTTGTAACATTCGATTCAGATTTTTATTTTCTTTCTAATAGCTATATTTGCTCTCTGATCTACCCTGTACTTGCGATGTTATCGGCATGGCTCTTCGAGCAGCTCAGCAGTAACGCTAAATCTTTCCTGAATTTCAAAAAAACTTTATCCTGAAGTTTTCAAGGAGCGCTGGTAACTGTTATGTAGAGCAAACCTTTGGCTACATTGCACTTGTTTTAGATTACATGGAACGCTTTTATCAAGTCCGTAATAATTATTTATCCCAGAAAAACCGCGGCTTTTTGATTACATTTATCACCTAAAATCATCGAAAATTCCAGAAAGCTGCTTTCTCAAAGCAAATCAAGCTTGGTTATGTTGCATAAATAATATTCAATAAAAGTCACATCTCAATTCACAGAATTTCAAAAGCTTTCGTGCATTTGCTGCAGTTGCGTGTTTCATGACTTGGCCACCGAAAAAAAATAATTTTTTGAAGCTAAAAACACAGAGTAGGAAAATATAGAAATATCACCTTGTAGTCCGAGAATTGCTGTACTTGATCCATATTTAGTCTTTTCCGAAGCTTCAAAATGGAAGTTTTGAAAATTAGCCGAACCTTGAGCAGATAAAATTGACGAGAATTTTGGCAATCATCAAAAAAAAGCATACAAGATTATGGTTCGAATATGTGTCCGTAAGAAAGAAAAAGAGAAGCTGCATCGAATGGATGTTGAAACTCATTCCGTCTTGTGCGTGGTTAACGGACAAACTTTCGGGCCAACCTAATAGAATTTTCCCAGAAGTAAATCCTGGGACAGTGTAGTGGCGCAGCATGCTGGAAGTTCCTACCATAATCCTGCATTGAAAAACGAGTGATAATTCACACCATATACAAATAGTGTTGAAACCAGCTCTACAGAATGGCAGCTTAGCGACTGTGAAAGACTCTTTTGCAAGAGTGATATTAGCAATTAAGGGTTAATTTTCGGGACGCCCCTATATTTGGACTGCCGTCTTATTTCAAAAAAAGTCCCTTGTGCAACATATTCAATTAAGAAAGTCCAAATACTACCACTACCTGCACGAACAAATCAAGGAAATTCTCAAATCAATGAGGAGATTCGTTACTTGGTATGAAACAGAACGCATTTATATGAGTTCTAATGTATTGTCGAAAGACAAAAAGAGAATGAAGGCAAGCGAGCATCAGTAATTTTCTTCACAGGGGTAAAAAAATTTACGAGGCTTCTTATCATATGAATAAAGCGTTCTCACGTGGTACTAAGACGTGGGAAAAAATGGTTAGCATCTGTCAGTTTAGGGGAATTTTTATTGCAGCAATTTTCGAAGGACTTTTCGAGCAGGGATAAACATTACGAGAGAGAGTTAGTAGTGAGTTAAAACAAGAGTAAACACCGGAAAGACTGCTTCTATAGATATGGAATAGCATGTAATCATCGCAGTTTGATAAAGCTCTCCATATCGGATTGCGTTATGTTTGTGCACAGAAACACAAAATCATATTGAGAAGTGAAACTTTTAGATAAAGTGATTTAGTTTTTTTTGTAATGAAATTACCTTACCAATTCGTTCTCTATCATGTCTATCACATCATCTTTCTAGTTATTTACCCAGATGGATTGCCTGATTATTTCTGTCTTGCAAGTTTGGAAGTTATTTTCATACATCAAAGTCTCTGGATTCATGTGAACCAAATCACTTGCATGGTCTCAAGATCGAACACAAGATTTTTCAAATGACAACTTGATACTCTGTTTTCCTTCAAAAACACTTTTTCACCCACTTATTTTGATATTGTTAGCATTTATTCTGAGCAAAAGACAAATTATTGACGTGACTTACGCTTGCAGTTATGGCTTAAGATCGCGATCAGGAGAATTTTTTGTATTCAAAACTGCACTTATTTCATGAATTCACGGAGTAAACTTTGCTGGTGATACTTTGCAGTCCAAAAATCCCAATCTGCCTAAAATCGTCATATTTTAACATTTTTCTAAATTGTAAATTTGAAAAGTAAATTTAACTAGCAGATACTGCTAGTCAAAAAGGCATATACAGGGTGTCCCAAAAGTATGTATGCACTGTTTGATCGTTAATATCGCTCTTTCCAAGAAGTCTTTTGCCTTGCTTCAGGTACCGTTTTGTAGAGCCGGCTTCAGCTTGGATTTGCAGTAAAGAATGAATCACCCATCTCTGATTACTGTAAGATTACGGTTAGACTTGCAGTAAAGAATGAATCACCCATCTCTCTTGATTACTGTAGGATTACGGTAGAAATTTGAAACATATGGTGTCAATGTGGAAAAGCTGCCGTTTCAAAATTCTTCAAAAAAATGTGAAAACTTGTTAATAGGTTTTTATAGACGCTGAGTTCAATACTCACCTATTCACAAATTTGCGAATCTTTCTAAAGGTGTAACCGCACTTTTTAGGAACATTGAAAAAATGGCCACTACCTCTTACCCAGAATAACTCTTCAATGAAGCATAATAAAAAGTTGGAAACCCTACAGTTACTATCAACAACTCTGATTAGCCTAGTGTGAAAGTTTTCAGGCTGTTTTGTTTCCTTTCTGGGGCAAGATATGGCTTTTTATGGCTCAAAACCCTCTTCGAAGTTTCTACCGTAATTCTGCAGTAATCAAGATAGATGGGTGATTCATTCTTTACTGGAAATCTAAGTTGAAGCCAGCTCTACAAAAAGGTACCTGAAGCAAGGCAAAAAACTTCTTGGGAATAGAGGTATCAACGATCAAACAGTGCATACATACTTTCGGGACACCCTGTATACACCGCAATAAATAAATACGTAAAAAAAAAGAATTCTCAAAATTACAGGTTCAGTAATTTGCCCTTCATTTTTTTCGCTTTGCGATATCAGAAAGGGATTATGCAGTTTCGATAATGTGTTTTTCTTGGTATATAACACTTGGGAATCCACCAATTTGTCAAAATGTGAAAATCTCAGAATTCATCAAACCGTTTCGAGGATTTTCCATCTTTACAGACTACGAACTTTACAACGACTTATAAACTTGGGCAGCTAATCGAATTCAAAATTGCGAACATTTCCCTTTTGTAGTGCTCTCAATATTGCCAGTTTTCGAAAAATTTTATGCCGTTTTTGAGGTTGGCTGGAAAGTCGACACTCCCATTATTTTTCAAAATCTTAACCCATTGACGACGATGTGTACCATCGGTGGCCCACACCCCCTGCAAAATCATATACTTTCTAGGTCTAGTACTTTTTCCACAGTTCAGTAATTTTTTCAATTTTTTGCATTCTTGGGACCTGTAAACTTCGTCGTCCAAGAAGATCATTGTAGTTGTTTACAGAACAACTTTACATTTCGTAAATAATCACAAAACTTCCCCAAGCCAAAAGTGTTGTGCAAAATCGCGTCGTCCCTCAGCGCCGCCACGCAAAATTAGGCGTCGTCGTCAATGGGTTAAAGTATGTTTTCTGAACTCATAGCATACAACTCCAAAAATAAGTGAAAAATAATAACAAGGAAATGATCAGAACTTAACCCAGCCATTCCAAACTAGCTGTACACCATCGGACTCGTCTCGAATATATGTTTTTTATCTGCCGAACGACTTGTCTGGGAGGAGTAAGAAGCGTTTACATATGAGAATAATTCGAGTACCAACAAGCACAGTTCGTTGAAAGGCAGCCTGAGGGCGCGACAACAAAGAAGCGCATTTACCAAAAAGCTAAAGTGTTTTTGAAACGTAGTTTGTAGAACATGCGCCACAGGGCGCTTGACAAATCTGCACATTCAAGCGCTCGTTAATCCCTCCGGGTAGTCGCTCGGCAGATAATAAACACATATCCGAGATCAGCGTTTCAAGGCGAGTCTGATGATGTATAGCAACATGGCTGGGTCAAGAGTTCTACTTTTCTGCTCAACTTTATCTATGTGTGATTCGACAAGGCTGGGTTATCACCCACCTGAAGCTTAGTGACAGTAAGAGCTTAATTGTCAATGATAAGGACTACAACTTCTGTATTATACAAAAAAATCAACTGCTGGGACAACTTGCTAATCAATTCGAAATCATAAGAGGCTTATACAGCCCGTTTTTTGAATTATTGGTGAGATTAGTGACGAAGTGAACAGAAGTCAAAAAAAACCCTCTCGTGACGGCAGCATAGAATACTCCACATTTGACGAAAAATCGTAAACTATTAGGTCATTCGAAAAATTTTTTTGATTTCGCACTATTAAATTTAAACAAGCGCAATTTTTCCAAATCCAATTTTACACCAAACACATTTCATTCTGTACAGCATTATATCCGGCAACACTCCTGTAGGTCCTTGTGTATTTGTCTTGCGAAATAATCACAGTGGAATCTAAAGCTTAAAAAGGCGTTTTTGATTAGCTAATTTTTATTGGATCATTTTTATGAATAGGAGCGTGAAACTAGGAAAACAAGTGATCGATAAAGGAAAGTCTAAAGAGTTCGAGAAATAAACAGGAATGCGCAGTCGAACCTTTTTGTGAGAGCCACCTTCCTTACATGTAGTTTGGCGGCATCATGTGCGAAGACGGCACTCAGCTCTAATTTTTGTAGGTGCGGTTCTGCTCAGCTCTAAAATTTGGGGCATGACAGCGCGAGAAGACAGTCTAGTGGAAACATTCACCGGAAGCGCTTCAGACATAAACGCTGTGGCTGACAATTTTTGAGGCAATTTGAAGAACAGCGATCTAAGCACATTCCGCAAAAATTTGGGAAAAAGAGCTCATTCTGAAAACTCTTTAGTTACGACTACATTAAAGTTTCTAGCGTGGGAGCGGAAGTAAGAACTGATAACTTGTTAAGTCGATCTATGTGTTCATTTACGAAAGACTAAGAGGAATTTCAGGCAGCGCCTTGTAAACTACAGCTTAATTTTATATGGCCCCAAATAATCGTCTTGAGTAATTTCCTCAGGAGAACTCCTTTATGCAAAACTCAAAACATTAACGACAAAGCTGACATAATTCTGCCTAATTCTGCCTATTGCGGTAAACGGTAAAAATGCAATTGTGATCAAATCAAGTTTGAGATTGAGCGGAAAGAGAGGACGAAAGCTCGAAAAATTTAGCTGTCAGTCAGAGACGAAGGAGTAAAGAAGAGAAAATTGTCAACTTCCTGCTGAAGGTAGGAAAGGATGCTCGAAAACATTCCTTCGCTAAAAGTACTGGGTGTCAAGGAAATAACACCTCCGATAACAAGTGTCTCGGGACTCTTGCCCATAAATGTGTCATTTTATATCGGTTTGATCTTCGGAATTGGTCATACCAGATAGACAGCTCTATGAGCATATACTAGTAAAACATTAGCCACTTATTCAAAGAAATACCTAAAGGGGTATATGTGTGCTAATTATGATTACCGACATGAGCATGCTTTGGATGCATTGAATAATCTAGAAGACAAGCCTCAAAAATACTTGGAAAACAGAAAAACTTTTGAATCTAGCATGCCATATTGTTCCCAGCCTTTGCTGAAAGTAGCTCACTTAAAGTTTTATTCGAGATCCTTTTCAAATTTTTTGAATTAAGCAGGATGGCAAAAAATTTTAGCGTTTGATGGCATTACCCACTAACCCTTTAGTTCAAAATTGTGGTGTCTATAAGGCTCTGCTTAACTGGATGTAAAGGAGCTGCTCAGGTGAACATCTGGATAGCTTCCAAACATATCTTCGATACATAGAGCCACGTACTCTGGTGACCTTCACTTTGAGTGTCATGATAGAATACAACCTTCACCTAGAGGGAAGTCATCCGGGGCGAAGCCCCGGATATCTTGGCATAACTAATGAAATATCCATATAAGGAGAGATGTGAATGAGGTAAATATAGTAGTGACATCCAAAAGAAGCTCAAAAAACCGAAGAATTACGTGTTTATGGCCCTTTTTTGCTAAAAAGATTTTTATTCAAAAATTCAATTAGGAACTGGAGCAAAATTTCTCAATTAATCTTTCTCTAGACTTCGATTGAGCGTTGGAAGTTCATGAAAGCCGCTGGAGTTCAATAGAAACGAGAAACTGCGCTCAAATCTTGCGCAGAAAGTCGCTACATAAATGCTGGTCTATCTCGTTATGGAGTGATTTTCAAGACCCGCGACGTTGTCAGTGCTCGTGGACGTCTCATGAGGATCACAACAATATATAATGTTACAGGGTTTCGTTATGATCCCGCGGAGATCAATGACCAGAGCCAAATGCCCCGCCGGCTCTGGTCTGTCTCCGCTGCTCGTCTGCGTCTCCGCTACTTGCGCGCTACCTCGCTATCCCAAAAGCGGGGCGCGGGGCATTTGGCTCTGGTACCCTTTTCTTCGTTGTTGGGAGCCCTCGACAATCTATATATCATATTAAAGCCCTTGATCTCTATTTTCACGCTGACAACGTCGCAACACTCCTTCTTACGATTTAAACGAGAAATATAGGAAAAACGGAGTTTTCGAAAACCTCTCGTTTTTTCTTCATTTCAGCTCTTTTCACTCGGTTTTTTTGTGTATTCGATAGGTCTTGTTTCTGTCTATGATGTAGACAACGTCGCCAAGCTTACTTCTTTGCTTATGCCGGTTTTTTTGTGAAAATTACCAAAAAGTGCGTTTTTCTTTACCTTGTTCTTTTTCAATGCTTTTGCAACGAATTTTCTCCAGCTTGGACGTTACTTGCTCAGAATGATGAGCGGAAGAATCCAGACAAAGTCGCAGGATACGAAACGACCATGCGGGGGTGAAAATTCAAAGGACGCGCCAAAAATCAGATTGGCGTCGATGTGCAACATAACTTTTCAGACATGTTTAACATGTTCAGTTCAGTTGTTGACAAGTTTGCCTTCTTTCGGTCTCCCAACTACCGCCACAGCTAACGCTTTTTTTCAATTATAAAGGACTTTGTTCCTGTTGCCACCCAATTTAACCGGCAATTCTGAAGACGAAAATGTGCGTAGGAAACCACCAAGATAAGGTTTTGAATTTGGTGATAAGCCTCTGTTTTATATGAATTTTTCAAGTTTCCTGGTTCAATTCAGATCTCTAAATTTCCATCTATTTTTTCTAAAACAACCTTCACTTTTTATAGGGGGCAAGAACTCAAACAACTATCACTTTCTGGGCTCTGTCTCTTGACTATCGAAGGTATGCTTCCAAAGCATTTCGTGCAACTATCAGTATCATATGATGCTGCAAAACAGGAATCTTGGAAGAACTAGCAAGGGAAAGATACTCGGTAGAAATGGAGTTCCCATATAAAATGTACACCGTCCTATAGATCATGGAACGCTGATTCCAAATCTGCTATAATTATTTGCAAAACGCTTCTGAGAGAGGAGCTATGGGATCTGACTGAGGCAAGAATTCAAGGGTTTGACTACGGTAAAAACAAGTGTCGAAATTTTTTAAGGCTCTTGAAGGTAATGACTAGTATAAACTTTAGACTAAAGGTATCAAGTGCATTAAGCGCCGTGCCAGTAATCATGGCTCCACTTGAGCTCAAAAACTATAGCTCGGGATGTTTTTGGAATAATTGTGCGTTCAAATTTTCAAAAATCCCCAAAACTCACCTTCCAGGCGCGCTTTGCAAATAAAGAAAGCAGATTCGGAATCAGCGTTTCATGCTCTATGAGAAAGCATACACTACATATGGAAACGCCACTTCGATCAGGTATCCTTCCCTTGTAAGACACACTCATATGATCATATGCAGAGATCAGAGATCATATAAAAAATTTGTCTTCATTCCATAATCGATAAAATTCACATTTTTTACACATCAGAGTTCTGCAGACAGGTGGGTCGAATAAGTAGTGAAGGATTCCCAAGTTGCAGTGGCGAACTGGAATGAAACGCATTATAGAGAGTTTATTGAGCTGATTACAGATTTGAATTCCTGAATCCGCTGAGCGGTTTTTACAAGCATTTATGATCGACTGATACTCCAAATAGGGCAAACATTTAGTGCTGCACCTCCTAGAACCAGTGGTTTGAAAACACTTCTCTACTTTGAAAATGTGCATTTTTGTAGCCAGTACACTCAACACTTGCCAAATATGCTCATTCAAGGTGGATTTCAAAGCACATCATGCATTAGAACCTCAATGACTCAGATTTCTTCCAAAGAATAGGTTAGCGAATACGGAATGTAGATTTGGAATGAGCTTCTCAGATCGCTTTTGATGACATGCATTTCATTTCAGCTCGTCACTGCGACTTGCGATGTTTCCCCTGTAAATCTATTAGTTTGATGCACAATTCTAGCACCAAATTTGCAATTCTATTAATTGTTCACTGTTTTTGATTCGATATAAGATAGCGATAAAATCTTGCGCTTTCTATAGGTGCTTGAGCAAAGAGTCCTTGAGGGCATATGGCAACGATATAAGCTGATCGATAGAAATACCCAAAAAATGTTTTTTTGGTTCCTGGTCACTAAAAGCTAAAACGTCTACTAAAACTCAAATTTACTTTTGGTTTTGGTTTTACAACATTTTGGTCAAGAATTTGGTAGTGAGTGAATGTCTCTGCGAATGATTACAAATTTCGACTTCAAAATTGACTTATTAATTTTGTTTCATATTGTTTTTCTAGAATGTATTATAAAATACTACTTTTGATATAAATGACGAAGCATATTCTGTAAAGATTAGTTTGTTTGAGCATTTTCAATTATTTTTCATATTTTTGGATCAAACTAATAGATAGCACCAAGGTACTTAAAGTGCCGTGACTATGTTTATAGACTTAGCGATAAAGTGCGAGTTTGAGCGGTCTTTACACGATCCTAGAGATGTGCAAGTGTTCTCATGCAAGGCCGATGTCCAAACATACCAACGGCAAAGCACGCTGGGTAACTTTTACATTTTTCGTGCAGAGGGCTGTGCTATCAAACTCCACGACTGAGCAAGTTTCAATACATAGTAAGTTGGCTAGGATGCTTTATCTTTGACAAGCAGTCCCAATCGCAGCTTCCTGCTTTAAAAGTTTCGGAACAAAAAAGAAATCAAAGCAATCGGATGTGAAGTAAGTGAGTAAGTGCAAGCATTTGAGTCATAGAAATGTTTCTGCAGACACTTCGATTGATTAATCAGAAGGACTCTCAACGCTGAGAATTTCACATTATGAGTTTTGCAGGTAGTTCGCTGAATGATGTCTCATGCAACTTCTTCAATTCTGGAGATAAATGACTTTCGTGCATCATCAAGTTATGACAACTAACGCGACGCTGGGTGACATCAACTTTCGACGTAGGGATGAATGCCAGGTATTTTTTCCTGCTTTCTTATTCGTTTCCAAAAAAAGCACATTAGATTTCGTGTGTGCACGTTCGCATGCGCGTATACATACACCTGCTAGTGACTGACAGAGGGGGAAAGGGTCGTCGATAGATGGGCGCCTCCCCCTCATCCCGAGAATAAGTCGCTAAATTCTCGAAAGTCACCTATTTGACTTACAGCTGAACAGGTTACTTGTTTTCGCTTCTAAACATTTGTAATAATTTTTGAAACTTTTCGAAACTGAACATATTGGCTTTGCAGAAAAAATTTCGGAAGCCACTGAATCAAAAAACATCCAAATTTTTTTTCGAAAGCCCCATTCCCCTCATTCGGAAAAACTTCTGTCATCTTCCTCCCCCTCCCCCCCCCCCCCCGAAAGAAACTACTCAGGCAACGGATAGGGCCCCTCCGCCGGAGAAATGGCAGGGTCGCGGCGTTTCCCCAGCGGTGGGTCTCCCATTTGTCCGGCGGAGCCCTCCCATTTCTGCTCCGGAGCCCTCCCATTTCTGCTCCGGATACCTCCCATTTTCTGCTCCGGATACCTCCCATTTTCTGCTCCGGATACCTCCCATTTTCTGCTCCGGAGCCCTCCCATTTCTGCTCCGGATACCTCCCATTTTCTGCTCCGGATACCTCCCACTTTCTGCTCCGGAGCCCCCCGATTTTGTGCGCCGGAGCCCCCCGATTTTGTGCTCCGCAAGTCTGCCGCGGCATACTGTAATTAGCCCTAATTAAAGGCAGCTTCCAGGCAGATCTGAACCTATGGGGCTTTTACATGGAAAGTACTTTTGGGGCCCTAACTAAGGCACTGCTGAAGCAGCAGCTCAGGTAGTGCTCTAATGGCGGAGATATTCCCCTCGAAAAGACCCCCGCGAACGTATTCGCATGGATTCATGGCAGTTTCGCGCCAGGATCCACGCTTTGCGCCATGAATCCATGCGAAACACGGTCGCAGGGTCCAGTTTCGAGCAGAATATCTCAGGCGTTACAGCACTACCTGAGCTGCCGGTTGGGTAGTGGCTTAGTTAGGGCCCCAAAAGTATTTCCATGTAAAATCCCCATAGGTACAGACTTGCCTGGACGCTGCCTTTAAGCTCCAAACCCCAATTTTGTCTCTAAACCCCACCCAAATTAGCCGAATAGGACCCCCCCCCCCTGGTAGGAGTTCAGCGCGACCCAAGTTTGCAAACACCCGATTAATAGTTTACTCATGATCGAAGAAAAAATTAGCATAATCAAGAATTTGGGCGGAAGTTTTTGGTAGACACAGTTTAAATTAGAACTCGACAAGTAGTTATACGACGTGATAAACGAAATCACCATATTTTACAGAGAATCACAGTTAGAGAATATAGCAAGAGCAACTTGAACAATATTTCGACTACGAGAGCGTCCTATGGCATGACCGATACTTAGTAAACAAGAAATACTATACAGATACCACGACGGTGGGAAGAAAAATGAGCAGCTGTGATGAGGTAAAGACAAGGGAAGAGTTGAAAGATTTCTGTTCTCTATCAGAAACTATCCTAATGAGCAGGTTCCACGGTACTGCTTACTGCTTGTTCAGTACTGCTCACTGCTTGTTCATTGTCCAGTTTCATTTTCTTTATCTCCTGTTCATTTTCAGATCTTGCTGCTAGCTGAAACATTTATCATTATCTTGACTCCAAACAATCAACTCAATCAAATATTATGAACCGATCCCTGTATTCAAATCACTCGGGATATCATCCAGAAGAAAAAATTCTCATTCTGATACTTCCAAAGTTGTTGGGCCAGCAAAAGCACGATGCTCTTGCACTCCATTACTTAAATGCAACGTTAACACAAACCTCCGCATCTCCAATTTCGAGCGCCTTCTTTGCCATAGCTAGAGCTCCTTCGAATGCCTTGTTACCTCCGATAAACCCTAAATACCACAAAATGAAGAAATTGGCAAAAATATGAGAAATTTCAGATGTACCTCTCACGTGCACAAATATGCATCCGTCAATGCCGCAGAGATTAGAAAGCTCCTCAACCAGCATTGTAAAATCGCCTAATCTAGCGTGATCTCAAAGCTGCACTATAAATGATGATAGCATGACCTGCGTTACCGTGCTGACTCAAGACATTCCGCGACGCGACTCTCACCGCACAAACGCAGTTGCGCGAGAAACATGCAATCAAAGGTGAAACACAGCATGGGTGATGTCAAACAGCCAACACCTTGACTGCGGTTCACCCAAACTAACCTTCAACAAGATCTATAGCTTGTTGAAACCTCTCGTCGGACTTGGGGTCAGTTTCATTCCAGTAGGGACTCACGTGATTGACACGACCAGAAAGTCCACCAGGGGCGATATGCATCAATCTCCCGTTTTGAAAGCGGGCGATCATTTCCAACAAAAAATGAATGCCCGGCCGGGTTGGCCGCAGCTTCGTACATTACGGGTCGGGCGGCCAACCCGGCCGGGCAATCATTTTACTATTGAAAATGATCGCCCGCTTTCAAAACGGGAGATTGATGCATACCGCCTCAAATGTTTGATATTTTCAAAGTCATATGTTGAAGCAGCAAAACCACACAGCCAAATCAATATAGATAGGAAGAAATCAGCATACAATATGTTGATGATTAAAGCATGATTCTCATCCAAAACGTTATTCGAAAAAAAAAAATAAAACTTCAAGCAAGATATAAATGGATACTGACAAGCCCCTTACCTGGGTGTGCCATCATACTGCCGTATGCCCTTATCGATAGCATCTATGGCTTCGACAAACGTTTCGTAAAGCTTTCGAAAAAATATATACACCATCTTATCGTGAAAGGAATCAAGTATCTGACGATAATAAACTGAATAAGAAAGATTAACCCTGACTGACAATGCTTACCTCTGCAATCAGTTGTTTTCCATAATGGACCTAGATCAATCCAGCTGAACTGAGTCTAGTGTTAGAATCCAGGCCCAAATGTCTGCATCGTCTCATTGAACTCTCTGAAAACAGCACGATTATGGAATTACTAACATTAATTGTGTGATCTTCATGACTGTAGGAGACTCAAACTTAACAGCATGCAAAGCAAGACCTGCAATTGGTGATGGTCGTATCGTTTCTTCGAATGATCGTATACACCTCCCACGTCAACGATAACATCGCACTTGGCAAGTACAGCAGGATCCCGTGTCCTGAAATGTCATGATAATGAAATGATGACATTACGGGAGATATCCTCAAGATGAATTGTGTGCAATAAAACGTCCAAGTGCGCAAAGATTCTTTGAGTTGGTATAAAGATGTGACGAGAACCTCTATCAAAACAGCAGGCTCTGCGTCCGTATCTATCAACATATATTAAGGATTAAACGCAGTGCAGGACAGTGCGCATACTCGTAATCATGCACAAGATAGACACAATCAATTACGCATATTTCGAGCTGCATAAGACACATCTGAGGTATAAATTGATCCAAAAAGCCATCAACCCGCTTACACTAACAAAGGTATAGGCGATTCATCAAATGCACAGACTGGACGTCATTGCGTCCGACCAAGATAATTCGTGCATGGGAGAGACAGCAGACGGCAAGAGGTACGAATGAGCGCTCAATCAGCGAGACGCCGACAGCGTCCACAGTGACGCCTATTACGTGCGATGAATTCCTCTACAGTATTTACCTTGAGGTGATGCAAATGCTCTAGATTAAGGTAAGAATACAGGGTAAATTTGACCTCGTTCCATGCTGGCTAGCAAACACTGGTTTGAAAGTTGCGCAATTAACCTCATTGTTTCGAAAATCCAGAATTAATCACAAAAACCACTCCATCAATAGTCTACGATGTCTCAGCAAGTCGAAAAGAGCCAAACACTGAAGGTGATTGAGTGCAACCGCACGAAAATTTGAAACATAAACCTGAAAACGAGGAACTTACAACAACATAAACGCCAACGCGTAAGAGCAACGCGGAAAGGAAAAAAACGGTAAAGAAACGCGGAAAAACAACAAAATCAAAGAAACGACGACTAAAATATGGAGAAAGAGCGTAAACAGAGGACTCATCACCGTGGAGTTAGACGTTTGCTTGCTACGCGCCAAATCGATACGCAGCCTGCTCCGGATACCTCCCATTTTCTGCTCCGGATACCTCCCATTTTCTGCTCCGGATACCTCCCATTTTCTGCTCCGGAGGCCTCCCATTTCTGCTCCGGACCCCTCCGATTTTCTCCGGCGCGGCTCTTCCAAATCTGGCGGACTCGCGCCGGGCAAATTTCTCCGGTGCGAGTCCGCCAAATCTGGCAGAGTCGCGCCGGAGAAATGGCGTACCTTTGCAGCAGGGCCGGAGAAGCCTCCCACTTGCCTGCCAGTGATGTCACCGCGACGGACCGCCCATTTGCCCCTCTCTCATTGGTCAACTGGGTCCGGCGCGACTCTGGCAGATTCGGACTGTCCGGCGGAAGGGTCCGGTCGATTGTCTGAGTAGGGCGGGCACTGATAACCAAGTGTCCCTTGAACATTCTCATCTATGTACAAGGCGAACAACGGACATGCTCAAACACGGTCCAGCACAAAACTTTTGAATTATTTAAAAAGCCATTCGAAGCTAGCCATGTTTCCTAGCTTCTGTGGTAACTAGGTAGCTCACAATAGGCAGTGACGCTAAATTTGCTGTGTTTGCACAAGGGTATAGGAACAAAATAAACAAAGAGGGGAAACTCAAATAAAAAATAAAGACGCTATACCTTCCTGGGGGTGCACGTCGTGGCGGTGTGATGCGGCGCCGCCATGTCCAGGATAAGAGAATGATACCCAGTTTCCTTTTGTAATAGCGATGCATCTTTTTGTGAAGGTGTGCTGGACTATTCAGACTAGTGCCACTCAGAAAAATTTGATAACTGAAAAATTTGGTGCAGTTGCCATTCATACATCTGTACATCTGTACATCTTCATACACCTGTACATCGTAATTCGAGATGGGATTTTGATTCACTTTCAGGTATACGTCTCAATTGCGAGTCAAGCGCAATCACTGGCGGCGGAAAATGCAATGATTGGGATTCTAATCAACTGTTTCAGGTTCAGGATACGATTCCTAACATGGGGAAGTAGTTTTGTTTTGAAATGCAAAAAAGATGGTTCACTTCATTTTTGGAAGAGAATTATGCTCAAAAATAATGACTTCATTTAGATGAACCAAAACTCGGAACTCGGGAGCTGTTGAGACTCTGATATACAGGGGCTACATTACTGACAATGAAACTAGTATACATTTAACATGACAGCTCCTTTAGTGAGTTAGCGTCGTGATCCCCCCCCCCCCCTCTCCCCTCCCCTCTCCCCCTTCCCCCCGTCACACCGTTTACTCTAACTCCAATCAAGACAAGCAAACACCGAGATTTAATTGAATTTGGAAGTTTTTTCTAGTTATAGAAAAATTATAGAAAAATTTTCCAAACTATACGTGTGACAGTGATGTAAGGAGTACACCCTTGTGCAAATCGGGGATCCTTTGAAATTCTAGGGTTTCAGTTGAGGTTTTTCGGATTCGAAATTTTTATTTGCCTCCAACCCTAGGTGAAACGATGTCTTCGAGGATGATTGACTTCATATTGTACGCTTTGCTCAAACAAATAACCTATCTACTTTTCTTCGTGTCTACTCTGCCGTGGTAGGATGTATGAATTGCGAACTTATTTTCCGAACAACCTAAACGATGTGCATGCATAGTTAGTATAAAACAGCATTTGAAACAATTTATATGAGTGAATCAAAATATGAAATCCAAATCAAATTTTGAGATATTCATTAGTTTTCCTACATAATAATTATGACTTCATCAAGATATTCACCACGAAAAGCAAAGCATCAGATAAATTTGAGTCACCGCACTGAATGATATGTACTTTGTCAACGCATTAGATGCACCGAATCACTGAAGGCTTTCTGAGCTAAGAAAGAATAAATTAAGTGAAATAAAATGTAAGCAGTAGTTATTTCAAGCAGAACATATTCATAGTAGTTATAAATTACTGGATTGAAGAACAATTGAATCACACCAACAAAAGAGGAGAAATAATGGTCACAAGTCCTTAAAATCAAAAAGTCCTCACAAAATGCGCTCAATACCCGGCAGGAGTTTGTTTGGTTTTTCGTCTAAAGTCACCGCAGGCACGGATCTCGTTCTTATCTATAGTAATGCATTGTATAATTTCTTCAAAACCGGTTGTGTTACGGAATTTTTGGCCAAATTTCCACTCCAGCACAGACTTGAGCTCCTGAAATTGTTTTTTATAAGGACAATTCAGAAAGTTTGTAACAATAGAGAGGTCGCGCATTTTGCGAAGAAGTCATTCACTTGAGCTATATCTGGTTGAACTGATTGTGAAGCATTGGCGCGTCGATAGCTTGTTTGATGGTTTCACCGAAGATTAGAGGCCGTACAAATGCCTAAAATTTCGGAGTGAGCCAACACGTGACCAACTAGTAATAGTTATATGAAGTACCTTGGCCACAGCAGAAATAATCTTGGATCCCCCAGAACCACCAATTACCATTCTTGGCTAACATACAATGAATCAGAAATGGTTTGACATGTCTAGAAATACTGTATCTCCTTTGTTTTCTTGTTGAATATCACCATAGGGCTCATGCTACTCATAGGCCGCTTACCAGGCTGAATGAAGTTCGTTTCCGATGGAGCAAATCCAAACCTGCAAATTTGAGATCATCCGAAAAGACTATAGAAAACGCTGTGTCAGTTGCAATTAATATTAAAGTTTGAAATTTGATATTGTAAAGCAACTGATTGAAAATTGGATATTTCTCTCTGGCAAGTGCAAAACGCTCAGTAGTACCTACACGCGATATTTGTACTGATTTTTCCATTGCCTGATGCTTTTCATAACGCCAAAAAATTCTAATATTTCCCACTATTTGAAGCAAAGGAAAAAAACGCGAAACAAGTTATGATAAGATTATGAGCAGTCCAAATGTATCGTATCTAATACATAGAGGAGTTGAAGGATTGAGCGTTTGCTAATAGT